TACAAAAGGGAATATCCTAAACCTAAGTAAAGCTTGCTCACCATTCAATCCATAATTCTATTGTGTTAAACAACCCTTGTAGAGTGAGTGACTCATTTCTGAGAAAATATTACAACTATTAGTGATAATATGGATTCATCTTTTGGATGAGACACTAAACTGTTGTGTGAAGCAAGATAAAATAGTACCTGGAATTTCAGTATTGTTCTTTCAGTACGTAGTCTACAGTTAGAGTCCCTCTAGAATTATTTAATAACTGTCTTAAAAAGTAATGGTGTAATGCGGAATTAAATGGGATTCGACTCTTGTCCCACTTTCTCTCCATCCCATATTCCAAGTTTACTCACCAGCCCCATTTAGCTCTATCCCAGACCTAATCTTTCCCTTCCAACAAGCAATCAGCTACCCAATATCTGTTGCTCCCGCTTGGCTAACTCCACTTCATGCTCTTCTCTGCACCCTGTGAAATCATTGACAAGAAGTGGAGGAGTCTGTAGTATTATTTAATAGTCAAATCAGATCTATTCGTGGAGTCCTGTAGCTCAGTGGTTATAACACTAGCCTTGCAAGTGAGAGACCTGGGTTTGATTCCCCGCAGGGTGAAATGTTGGGTAAGTTTTCTTATTCCACACGCCTCTGCTTACCTAGCAGTAAGTAGGAACCCGGTTGTTAGTTAATTGTCAGATCACTTTTCCGGGGATAATAATCCCTCGAAAAAAAACCAATGAAGTTTGGTCACTCAATCCATGACTGTTTGTGGGGCACTGCTGTGCGCAATTGGCTGCCACGTTTCGCCCACAAATATACAGTCAATTCACTTTACAGTATATTTTGTGAAGTGCTTTGAGATGTCTAGAAGATGTGAAAAGCGCTATATCAAATGCAAGGATTTTTATTATTATTCCCCCTCCCACTCTCCCTCTGTCTCCCCTCCTTTCACACTCATATTTTGAATTTATTGCAGATTACCACCTGCGTTTACCTAATTTCCGTATGTTTTTTTTCCAGATCATCAACCCCTTTTGTGATCAAGACAATAATTTCCTGTCTGCCCTGTGCAATTCTTCTTAAAGAAAAGCGTGTTTTTCTTCCTGTTTAACTTGGGTTTATTATCAACATCCAAACTCATTCCAGAGATTCAAATCAATGGGTTGCTCATGGTTGTATGATGCTGTCACAGATTAGCTGCCATGTAATTGGTATTGTCATTGTTATTATCGTCCTTCCTGTGCTTTATTCTGTTTCATGACCACTCAATGCCCTTCCAGTTATTTGATCTATGTAACTGGATCTACTCTCTTATCTCTTCCTGCTTCATCCTCTATCTTTAGGTCTATAGATTGGGGTCTACTATCTGTGGGGTCTATGAATTGGGGTCCTGCTTTGCCCTCTATTCTTGTGTTTACGTTTTATCCACAAAATACAATCAATTCAGTTAACAGTATTTCCTATGCAGTGCATTGAGATGTCTCGAAGACATGATAAGGTGCTGCATTAAATGCAAAGATTATTATTATTATTACAGTCACCATTCGTGTGCTTTTTATTTTAACAATAATAATCCTTGCATTTGATATAACACCTTATCATGTCATTCAGATGTCTCAAAGCACTTCACAGAATATATTGTAAAGTGAATTGACTGTATATTTTGTGGGTAAAACGTAAACACGAGAACACGGTAGCTAATTGCGCACAGTAGTGTCCCACAAACAGTCATGGATTGAGTCACCAATTTTTTTTGAGGAGTGAATTAACCCCAGAAAGTGATCCAACAATCGACTGACAACTGGTTTCCTACTTACTGTTAGGGAACAGAGACATGTGAAGTAACGAAACTTGCTTAAGGTTTCGCTCCATCCAGGAATCAAACCCGATTCCTCTCATTTGTAAGGCGAGACACAAATTTCAGGACAGACACCAGGAAGTATTTCTTTAGCCAGCAAAGATAATTGAGGCCAGGACGCTGTATTCATTTAACTGTCATCTATCTAACTGACTCACTGTCAACAGTGGGAATTGAAAAAGGACACACTCTGTAATGTTACTACTAATAATCACATCAAAGCTCCGATACACTGTGTGTGCCTCGCTGGGCTATTGTACTGTTTAGGAATCTTCTTGATTCTTTGCAATAAGTTTAAACATTCAGTAAGTAGTTGTGAGCCTCTGAGCATTGGATGTCTGTGGCACACTAATTACTGAGCATCACATTGTACATTCCACTGCGGTATGTCAGGGACTCACATCAAGCCTCAACACCTCAGCTTAACACGCCCCAAAAACTTCAGAAGAGGCAAATTGACCACCTCTCTCTTATTTGTGTGGGCTTGTAAGCTCTACACAATTCCCAATAAACAAATTAATCATACTTCATGCCCTGGCACCTCCAACCTGCTTACACCCCTGTCCTCTACCGCCTCTTTCTCTCAATTAACTCCAACCTCCTGCACATCCCTCGTCTCCTCCGCTTTATCATCAGCAGCCGTACTTTTAACCACTACTTAAGACAAGACTCTGAAACTCTCCGCCTTATTCCTTCCATCTTGTTTACTTCTTGCCCGTTTTTAGATCAAACCAGAGAATTTAAGGATCGCCCAAAACTATGTCCAATCTTACATTTTAATCCTGCAATCATCAGGCTAAGATCACAAAGAAATGTTAGACCTGAGGGGGAGGAGCCCTGGTTAAATTTTCTGATCCCTAACCCAGAGCACGGGACTGAACGGGTGCAACTTATTTCATTGTTGGAACTTGACAACAATTTGCCTGTGTCAGGAATTTGCATGTATGTTGATTTCATATTACTTATGAACTTCAGAAAAACATGAAGCTATGCAAAACATGATCTCGGTAGGGAGGGATAAAGAATGAGGGACGATAGATATCAACCAACACATTTCAGAGTTAGCTTCTAGGGCTTTGTACTACTTTCAAAACTGCAATGTTCCCCGCTTTTGTTTGCTTAGTCAAACCCATCACCGTGCTTAAGAGTATTCAAACCAACTGAGAGTTCCACATATACACGCCACCCAAGCATGGAAATTTCCGTATCTGGAATGGAATGACAAACTTTCTCCCTGGAGGGATGCATCCTGTTTACCTAGTTCTGGAGAATATCTAGATGCAGATAGTGAAGACCTAAAACATGATGATCTCAGAGGGTGCAGTGGGGATATTGCTGGAGGTCAACAAGCTGAAACCGCACATCAATTTTACTTCCAAATAAACAATTACCAGTGTCGTTGTTGCTTCCACACATGGTCTAGAACAGGATTGTCCAATACTTTAACCAGTAGCCACATGTGACAAATTGGGAATCCAGATGTGGCAAAATTACATTTTTGATTAGTAAATAAAAAATGAGTGCTAGACACCGACGTTGGTGATATGATATCAACACTCGTATTTGCACAGTGTATGCACGTGAACCTTTTTTGGTGTTTGTTGGTAAAATGGTGAAAAGCAGCATGTGCAGAGGTCATGCAACCGGCAAAGCAAGATAGTGCGGGTGAATTGCCATATTTTCTCATGTTTCAGTATTTAGTAAACAGAAGCTGTCGCGAGCTACCCAAATTCCAGCAGATGAAAACACTAGAGCCCCAGGTAGTTTAATAACTTCCATTGCTTCACAGTGTCCACACATTTATTAACATAAACAAAAGGCAGGTCTCTTGTGACAATAAATAAGCAAGCTTACATCTTAATATCAATAATTACAGCCCATGTTCCAAAATAGAGAGAATTATTTTACAATTTACATTAAATAGTAGTCATTAAATGTTATAAAAAAGTAACATTTCAACCCTGAAATGGAGTGTGCTACATGCAAGCTAAGGCAATTTTTGTTTTCGTCAGCCGGATGTCCGACATATGCGGAAACCCATGTGCTAAATTATGTGATCAGTACTGATCTGTGAATAACAGACAAGGGACAGTCAGCAGTGAGCTCTGTTGTTGGTGGTATCCAAAGATGCAGGAAGCTTGATTGTGGTTTTTAATTAAAATTTTGAGTTGTCAGACTTGTCTGAGATTGCCCTTCCTCCTCAGCACCCAGGCACAAATTTACAACATGTTTCACAGGGGATCAGTAAAAACGGAACCCCAACAACAAATAGCCACTCACGAGAATTCCTCTCCAACGCAAACCGAGGACTTGGGAGAAAAGTGCCCTGCAGGAGATGTGCTTATAATAATAATAATAATCCTTGCATTTGATATAGAGCCTACCACGTCTTCGAGACGTCTCAAAGTGCTTCACAGAATATATTGTAAAAATAACTGATTGTATTTTTATGGGCAAAATGTGGCAGCCAATTATGCATAAACAGTCATGGATCGAGTGACCAAATTATTTTTTTTTAAAAATTGAAGGGATTATTAACCCCGGAAAAGCACTCCACCAATCGATTAACAACTAGGTTCCTATTTATTGCTAGGTAAACCGAGGTGTGTGGAGTAAGGAAACTTGCCTAACGTTTTGCCCTGCCTAGGAATCGAACGCAGGTCCTCTCGCTTGCAAGGTGTGTGCTCTAACAATTATGCTACAGGACTCCACAAGTTTTACACCGTGAGGTAATATTTGCAATGCGGACAATTTTTCTGACGAGCATTCTCACAGCTCCCAATACAGCTAATTACCTGGACATTACAACTGTGACAGCACATATTAATATACCCCAGCTCACTGCTCTGATACACCAACCAACAGTAAGGGTGGCAGTGAGACTCATTCAAACAGGAAGAATATCGCTAACCTGCTACTACCTTTGCGTGTGATGGTTGCTGGTTTACAGTCAACAGCTTATGTGGCCACCACAAAAACATTACATGACCCACTTCATTCGTACCTTTGGCAATGGGGGAGGAGGGCTGGTTGCTCAGCAATTAGGCTGCTTGCATAAAATGATTGAACAAGATTGTTTTCAGTGAAGAGACATAAAGTACCATGGAGAAACCAGCTGAGCTTGAATTCTGAGACATTGTGTGTCATTGCGCAATGCACAGGGGATAACACTGTAACAATACAGTACAATACAATACATGACAAGTTTACATTTATATAGCGTCTTTCACGTCGAATGGACATCCAAAAGCACTTTTAGCAGTACTGGCTGAATGCTTTCTGTTGAAAAAAAATCTCATGGAGTATTTTTTTTCTGACAGTGAGAAGCCAGTAACACTGCCTGTTGCTGCCAAACTCATTGTCCCCTTAATCATCACCTGAAGCTGCTCGTGTTCTCATTCCAAAAGCAGCAAGCCAGGGCCAAGTTTTCTTCTCAAAAAGAAATCCAAGATTCTTTACACTTGGAGTTTAACCCCAACCCACTGCACTGGGCAAGTGTCCGGTGAGTTTAGATATTTAAATAAAATGATCCAGCCAACAGGAAAGAGTTGTAATACGGGCCTGCGTTTTAAAAGCCAAGGGATATTCCCTTATTATTTGATGTTGTTCCTGCATCTGCGAAGTTTGCTCAAATGGCCAGTCTAGGAATAGCACTCTTCCTGTCTCTGTTTGAAAATAAAAAGACAAAAGATTCAGACTTGCAAGTGTGAACAAACACAATACGTTTACAGGGCACTTAAAACTCACAGAAACATATGCAAACCTCTGCTCATACAAAATGTTACACATTGCTGCCAACATTAGGAATATACAGCTTTAGATCACAAAAGGTGTTTGGATGACCCTTCGTCATTTGATCTCATTCTTTCAGAACACCCACTCCATCTTAGCATCAACCTGGGTTTTTAAATGCATACAGCTCCCTGGCCTTAACCATCCTTCCTGCAACCTGTTGTTCCAGTTTTTAATTAACCTCTAGATAAGGAAATACCTCCTTGTGTCTGTCCTGGAATTGCCCTTTGCTATAAGCCTATGAGTTGTTGAGGAGGTAGCTAACGTCCTGATCAGGCCCACCATTCATGGTGCTCCCAGAGCAGAGCAGACCTGTCCCCCTCCCTCTATCCTCCTAACCCCCTCCACTTGTCCCCTTTCCCCGTCCCTCTCTCCCTCTTCCCCAATTCCCTGCCTCTATCCTCCTGTGCCCCTGCTGCTAGGGGAGCAGCCATCAAATGGTCAAACAGCCCAGTAGTCGCCTGTAACAGCAGGGAACTAGACAGAGCAACCTGCCAAGTGCTTCAACATCAAATCAGGGTCCTCAATAAAGCATGTGAGTCATCGCGTTTGGCTTGATGTGACACAAGATGGCAAAGGAAATACACTGAGTCAGTGTGAATGCATACCTCCCTGATGACATCTTCTCTTGTTACCTTGACTTGAAGCTCCTAACAGGAAAGAATTAAAACCAAAGTTATTTCCTCACTGGCTTTCTGACTGGTCCCAATCCCTGAATTGCCTGTGCCATCCCTAAATCAGCCACCAGGAGGTGGGCCCAACGCTGGTCGTGGTGGATGGGGGAGTCTGGGGAGGGGCTGTCACATCCACAAATTCCTTTCCTTCTGTGTAAACAGATAAGTTCAGACCAGAAACACAGGAGAAATAGTTGCTGACTGAAGCGTATTAATCCATGCCATAGGAGACACACAGTCTTGTCAACAGGAGGACATCATTTAGAATTTCATTGACCAAAGCACAAGTATCAAAGTTAGTGAAAGGCTCCATCAATGGATTAATGTTCCCGGGGGTGGGGTGGAGTGGAGTGGGGGGGAGGCAGCTAATTGGAGTGAGTCATAAATTGATCGGCCATATAGTCATATAGCTCATGTTCTAAAAGGTGTCAGGAGACTCATTGTGACTTTCAGCCAAAGGAGTCTGTAGGCCTTTTGTATATATTTAAATTAAATTTTTTTAAAAAATTGCTTTTGACTAGACTTGTATAAACTAGGACTGGGAATATTGAGGGCGAGGGCTTGTGTTCCGGGGGGGAAGCTACACCTCCCTATCCTCCCAGTAGATCTGACACCACACACTGCGGCACAATAGTTGACAAAGATAAGAAATAAATGAATAAATGTGCACATGTTGTTTTTCCTTTAAGAGATCCTGGCCTTAGGGTCAGGAAACACGAGCTGTTTCCTGAATCGTGCTGCAATCCCTCCAGCCTCCTGTGTCAGCAAACATTACATTGCAATGGGCACCAGGAAGTGAATGTCACAACGGAAGCAAGGCCGGAGCCAGCTCATTGCAGAGGCAGAGAGGCAGACAATGCTGAAATCACAAGGGATGGCGAAAGCTTTGTTACATACCATGCCAGAGAATAGCAGAAGAACAAGAGAAATCCAATAACTCCCACAGACGCCACACCTAAAAAAGTCCTGTTCTGCACACCGTGTGATAAACCTACAGAAATAAAGAGTCGGGTGAAGACCTTTCTCCTAATTGGTTACAAAATCAAAGCTAACCAAGTCCAGGGAATGAGCTGCAGCTACCTCACTATAATATTTGCAATGATAATATAGTGTGCAGTGTAAAGGACACATTCTGAAAACCTGCAAAGTCACCTCAATACAAGTCAACATCTGTTTTTTAAGATCACAAGAAGAACAAGAGGTGGAAGATTCTTGAAAGCAAATCTCACACTGCAAAACAGTTACCAAGCTCTGCTTATCACAGAAGTGTCTAAGGCCAACATCATTCAAATTTAGTAAAAAGTTTATTTAAGATATTATTTATGACTTTCCTGTCAGTGATAGCTGACAGCAGTGCTGCTGATGTGGGAGTGTGCAGTCCACTCCTGGCTCCGTGCCTGCAAAACTCTTAAAAACATATCCATTTCAACTGTGCCACTGTTCAATACCCTTTAAACACTCCTCACGTGCTCCCTAAACAACTCTGTGAAATCTTTGAGAGGTTAACCTATGTGAAAGGTGTTATACAAGTGAAAGTTGTTGTAGCGGAGACAGCACCATAAGCGTCTGGTGTAATAATAATAATCCTTGCATTTGATATACAAGAACAACAAAATTACATTTGTAAAGCGCTTTTCAGTCCCAAGGAGCTGAACAGTCGGGGATCAGGACCCGAGCGTGGAGGGGGCAGGGTAGCCATGAGGGAGGTCAGAGGGCGACTGAAGGCACGGTCGAAAAGGAGGGTCTTGAGTCGTGCCTTGAAGGAGGCAAGAGAGGGAGCAAAGCGAAGGGATTGTGGGATGGAGTTCTAGAAGGTGGGGGCAGAGAGGCTGAAAGCCCGACCGCCGATGGTAGGGCAGGTTGGGCGGGAGACATGGAGTAGGCTGGAGCCCGCTGAGCAGAGGGAGCGGGCAGGTTGATAGGGAGTCAGCGGGTCAGAGATGTAGGAGGGGGAAAGGCCGTGGAGGGCCTTGAAAGTGAAGATGAGGATTTTGAATTCTATCCTCTGGGGGATGGGGAGCCAGTGGAGCCGGGCGAGGGTGGGAGTGATGGGGTCATGGACTCTGGTACAGGAGAGGACACGAGCTGCAGAGTTCTGGATGACCTGCAGCTTGTGGAGGGAAGCCCTGGGATGGCCGACAAGGAGGGAGTTTCCGGAGTCGAGCCTTGAGGTGACGAAGGTATGTGTGAGGGTTACGGTGGCCTGAGGGGTGAGGCAGTGGCGGAGTCGGGCAATGTTGCAGAGGTGGGGGAAGGCAGAGCAGGTCATGGCACAGATATGGGGGAGAAAGGACAGTTGAAGGTTGAACAAGATGCCCAGGTTGCTGCCTGGCTTGGTGAGGTGGAGTGTGCAGCCATAGATGCTGATGCTGCCAGTGCCTGAGGTGCTGATATGAGCTAATTAGGAGGGCCTCGGTCTTACTGATGTTCAGTTGGGGAAGTTATTATCCCTGGAAAACGATCCACCAATAAACTCACCAGTTAGTTTCCTATTTATTTAGTTGTTACCAGTTAGTTTCCTACTTACTGCTAGGTAAACAGAGGAGTGCAAAGCAAGGAAACCAAACCTGTTAGGTATGGAAGTGTCTATGTGATGCAAGTGGCACAGGTGAGTAACTCGTTTTGCAATCATACCTACAGGCCATGAAACTCCCAGGATTGACCTCTCCCCTGAGCAGCGTGATCATTCCTGTGCAGTGACACAATCCAGGGGCTGGAAGTTCCACTTGTAGCTTCCAATAGCTGTAATTTTCCTACCTCAGTCTGTAACAGGTAGAACTACTGAAGCCTTAAAATCCACCTAGTCTTAGCCGGTAAGACCATTTTATCTTAATATTTAAGAAGGTGAAGAATTATGGAAAATTCATGGATTGAATATTAATTTGGAAGCCTTTTTAGAACTGTGGGAAAAACTGTTTCCAAATTTTCCAAAATTATTATTATAATAATGCTCAATCATTGAGATGTCTCAAAGCAATTCACAGGATATACTGTAAAGTGGATTGACTGCATATTTTGGGGAAAAGTAGGAGACAGATGAGTTCCTCTTACCTTTTAACTGTGCCAACACCACACATGACTGTTTCCTCACCTAACAACAAAACATCAAAACGTAATTGTACCTTGATGGCAACACATGTCTCGACTTACACAATTCGTGGAAATAAGTCATACCCAACAAACCGGCTCAGCTGCAAAACTCTGCCAGGGCAAGAACTGTACTTTTTCCACACTTTAAATTGACGTTCTGGAGGCCCGAAAACCAGCACAAAACCCTTTCTCACAAGATGGCAAGGGAAGTTTGGATGAAGGAATACCCATCAGAATATCCGTCCTACTATCCTCTCATCACAGCACTGAGCTATTTCTTTAATGCTTAAGGTCCTCCTGACTTCCTCCAGACATAATTACAGTGATGTCTCCAGTGCGTCCACTTGTGTGTGTGTGTGTGCAGGGTAAGGCTGGGGTTAAGGTGGAGGAATAAGGCAGGGGGGGAAGATAGGGGGTTAGATGGTGGGTGATAGTGGCTAAAGATGCAGTGTAAGGCAGGGGTTAAGGCCGAGCGTAAGGCCTGGGGGTGCGGTAATGCAGGGGAATAGGGTGGGGGGGTGTAAGTAAGGTGGGGAGTGTAAAGTGGGGGGTTAAGGCAAGGGAGTAAGGCGGGGGGTAAGGAGCGGGAGTAAGGTAGGGGGGTAAGGTGGGGGGTAAGGAGTGGGGATAAGGTGGGGGCTAAGGCGGGCGGGTAAGATGGGGTAAGGTGGTGGGTGGGGTGGAAAAAAGGGAGCAATGGCTCCTCAGAGACAGGTATCACGAGCCATAGAAGTGGGAAAAACACCTCGTTTCACAACCGTTGTCGCCTTCAAATATAAATATTGCAAAAACCAACATTGAACTGGTTCCAAATATACTGTAGACGGCTCATAAGGAGAGCAGCCTCAGTCAGGGAAAAAACACCATCAATTGAAATCTACACTGAGAAATGTAACTAGTGCTTCTGTCAACACAATAAAAGTTACTGTTGGAGGGCGAAGTTATTTCACAGTGTGAAAAGCCAGGGACTGAGCAGCGCAAGCAAGTTGCTGGTCCTTCAGACCCTGCGCATGATTATTGCGGAACACTATATCTAGATACAATTAATTTTTATTTTCTGTTGCAGTTGAGTCAAGCGTAACAATGTCTGACACCAGTAACTTCCTCGTCACTCCATCCTTGTTACTGAAGATGTGGCACTGAACTTGGATCATTATCTGTCATTAAAATGATGGCGCTCCTACACACTGATCCTCTGGATGCCTAAATACAGTTCAACACTTGTACTGAATACAATTAAGTATTTCTAAATATAATTATCATCATTCTTCCATACTGTCAGTGCACTGTAAAAAAACACATGGGGATAACAGGATGTGTACATCATTGGACGTGCTAATGTATAGAGGAAGTAGTGAATTTAAAGCATTTCTGAGGGGAGCAGTGGATCAGTTACATTGATTTTGTTTCCCCAGAGAAATGACTAAAGGAGCAAACATTTCCATGGCTCCATTCTCCAATGGGTTCTACGTCAAATAAATCCGAGCAGCCTCAGCCCAGTCCCCGTTCATTAAAGGATCTGCACCACAAAACATCCCACAATTAGCGAGTTGTTCGAATCTGGAATGCATTGCCTGAAAGGGTGGTCGAGGCCGATTCGATAACTACTTTTAAAAACACGGTGAACGGGTATTTGAGGAGGACGGGTTTGCAGGGTTATGGGGAAAGGGCTGGGGAGTGTGATTGACATTAATTGCTCTATTCAAAGAGCCGGCACAAACTCGATGGGCCAAATGGCCTCTTTTTGTGCTGTACAATTCTATGATTCTATGATTCTATGAATCTGAAACAAATTGGCACTAAATCGCTGTCTTGCTCAGGCCGCCAGAAAAGCCAGTGGGAGAAATGTAAGTTACGTTGTTAGAGAGAGACCAAGAGGTTTTGAGGTTGGCTGCCTACGACAACAATCCGCTCTGATGCATTTGAGACATTTCGACAAGCACCAAGTCACATGCAAATGTTATTATAAGGGTATTCTATTTGCTGTGCATCAGCCAGTGTGGTGCCTGATCCAGGAGGATGAGGAGCTGCACAAAGTGCTCAGAGCGAGTAGGGCACTTTCACTGCACTCTTATTCCTCAGAGTAATTATCACAAAGTCACCAAACACCGAATATATTTTAGGGGAAAAAAAACTTGTGAGACAGAACCTGCTGTGGTATAATCACAGTTTGATTGTTTCTTATGTATACTTGAATGGGTGAAAAGATTATCTGAGGGTACTGTACTATTCTCTTATTAAACAATCTGCCTAGTTGATTGGTGAATATGCTTCTCTCTGCAGTGTCCCTCTCTACCTCTAGCAGTTCCATGTCCTCCCCCACCCCACATATAGAAACACACACGCACTGACTTTTTGCTCGCTCCCTTGATCTCTCACCCAGTCTGTCTACTTCTCAATTCCTCTTCTGCTTCTCACTATTACTCTAAGATATCAATTACAGTGTTAGAGGCAGATCCTACCCACCACTATTACCTTGCTATAACACAGTTGGGATTTTATGGGTCCCAAATATAGCATTATAACCAGGCTGCAGTGTATATTCCTTAATATTATTTCTAATTAAGTAGATGGATAAGTGCTTCTTCTATGTTTTCTTGTGCATTTCCACAATCCTCTTTCTCTCAGAGAATAGGAGACATGCTGCCAGTGTTAGCTTCCACCTAGTGGATTAGTGTTGGACTGACAGATTTAAACCAATTTTTTCTTTCCCATTATTCTTTTTAGATACTGTTTTTTTAAAGCGCAGATTTTGTTTGAGTGAACATATCTGGGTGTCTCAAGGTGAGGAACATCATGTAGATCATTTTTGTCCCCGTTTTTGTACCCTGCATTTCCCCAGGTCTGACTTAGCACAAATTTAATGCTGGTTAAAGCTAAAATCTTTCCTCCCACCAATATGTTGTCATCTCCCTATCCCTCCCCGCATGAGAATGCACCCTCCGCCCCAAACCAGTGCACCACTGTAAACTGTTCCCACATCGGTATCCTATGATTTCTCTGGCCAAGATTGCCAATTTGTGCTGAGCTCTGTATGACAACTAATTCAGAACTCGCCACCCATACTAAACTCCGTACCACCATCACACGAGTCCTCGCCAAGCTCCCCAGGCTCCCTATCACAGAACAGATCAATTTCAAGATCCTCTCACTCGTCTACAAATCCCTTTACTCTTTGGCACCTCCCTACGATTCTGACCTAGTTTCTCCCCTCTCCACTACCCGCTGCCTCCGCTCAGCTGGTTCTGGCCTCCTGCATGTCCCTCATCCCCTCCGCTCCACCATCGGCAGCCACGCTTTCAGCCGCTATGCCCTGAAGCTTTGGAACTCTCTCCCCCAATCCCTCTGCCTTGCCCCCTCCTTCCCCATTTTATTGTGCAGAGGAAGCATGCTCTCTCATCCACTAACTGCTGATTAAATGCCACGTCTTTCTTTTCCACAGTTTTTTATTGTTTTTTATCATTTTTTGTGCTTAACTGAATGAGGTGGAAACTCTTTCACTGAAAATCTTTTTAAATCACTCTCTTTATTTCTCAGACAAGGTTGCTTTGAAAACAAATAGTAATAATAATCCTTGCGTTTGGTGTAGCGACTTTTAATCAGGAGGACATCTCAAAGCACTTCACAGGATATACTGTAAAGTGTAGTGACTGGATTTTGACTGTGGTAGCCAATTTGTGCACAGCAATGTCTCACCAACAGCCATGAAGTGAGTGACTGATTTTACATGGGGAATAGTCTATCTTGTCGTCTTTCCAATGTTACCCTAGAGATGGAAGATATTCTTGCAACTTACAGTAACAGCATCGTTGCATAGTTACCGGCTATATAACAGCTCATTTTACAACTGAATGACAAACAATTAGAAAGGACAAAATGCAACATGTGATAAGTATCACTAGTTATCAACCTTAAAAGTTCAATTAACAAAGAATGCTGTAAACCTGTACTGAAATCGCCATCATCACTAGACTTTGGGCCTAACTATTATGACCACACCACCTGGTCCATTGACAGGGATGGACTTTCTGACAATAATAAAAATTAATAATAATCCTTGCATTTTATATAGTGCCATATTTTATCATTGAGAAGTCTTAAAGCGCTTCATAGAATATATTGTAAAGTGGCTTGAGTGTATTTTGTGGACGATAATTATATATTTATCACATCACAAATCGCATTTCTCCCCCTTCTGGATTTTTTTAACATAAAATACGAAGATCAACTTACGTAGCCCCATTCGCTAATGACTTTCAGCAAAAAAGAATAGTTCTTTCCTGCTTCTAAAGGAGCGTTATAGTACGCTCGATAATAGAGCCGATCTCCCACAGAGAATTCCATCCCATCCTCAACATCCATTGCCACAAACTCGGCTGTCACGTATCCCTCGCTGTCTCTGTTGGGGCCAAAGAAGCCGCTGATGTTCAGGGAGTTGCAGGTGAATGTGTGCTGGAAGTGCAATGGCAAAACAAGCACTTGGTAAAGACTAGAGAGGGAAAGAAAATAAATGGATCGAACGTGAGTTTAATATCAACCCAGCCGGCCGGCGACGCTGTGAACCACTGCAATAATTTATGATTGATCCGAAAATTGATCCTGTGATCCTCCACATTTACACAAATTTCTAAAAAAAATAAGGCAAATCCAGCTTTAAAAAGCAGAAGAAATAGGAAAGGAGAGTGGAACTGAATGGAAAGCTCTTTCAAAAAGACCGCACGGGCACGATGTGCAGAATGAACCCCTTCAGTGAAGTAAAAGGTTCGCCTGCATTCGGGCAAATCCGGGGACATTGTAGAAGAGGGGGATATGGTGGTGCTGGAGGAAAGTGGACTTGGTCAAAATGAAAGGCTTAAAGGTCAAACAACACACCAAGACTGCACACAAGCTCTTTGACCTGGAGCGACTAATGTGCTAATTCCATATCTTCTTGACTTGTGCAGAGGTCCATTTACTAATCTACCATGTTTACCTGATGGGCCCATTCTTCTCTTCTACTCTACGGAGGATGAGGGGTGGTAATAGACGTTCCACAACTACGATCTCCACATCAGGCACTGGAGGAGCTGAAGTACAAGAAGTTTTATTTAAAAATGTCACAGAAACTAGGACAATTATTTTTGGGGGGGGTTGAGGAATCAACTGGGTGTCTGACAGATGCAGAAACCCATCACCATGCTTAAGAATATCCAAAGCAAATTGAGAATTCCATGTATCCCACCTACACATGGAAATCCCAGAGACAGATTGTTGGAATGGAATGTGCACTCTCTCCCATCCTGTTTACCTAATTCTGGAAAGTATGAGGTGCAGGCTTCCAAGAGCCAAAGAATGGGGACCCCAGAGTCTGTGTTGGGGCACTGCTGGAGAGTAACCAGCTAAAACCACATAGCTTGCCATTGATATCTCTGTCTGGCAAGCTTTCCCATTGCTTCTCCAGCTCGGACCAGCCTCCCCGTTAAGGTCAAAGTGCTTGCCTGTTATCGACAAGGCAGTCCACAAGACAAAGTCTAAGTGTAGATTAGAGAAGGAGAAACCTCTTGTGACAGATTATGGTGGCGTGACATGGCGTCATACACCGGGACCCTCTTCATGTGTGAGGTCTACAATCATGAAAGGTGGTGGGGGGAGGGGGGGGAAGAGGCATCAGATCCTGACCTGTCCTCGCCCAGTGCCACACATTTACGTTCAGTCACCAAAAAGCCATCAGCAGGAAGAATCCCAACTGTTTATTCACATTTCCTAATCCAGGAGGCTGACTGTAACATCCTCACTACCATCTTACCAATTTCAATTAAATACAGAAAATACTGAGCAATGATGGAAACTGTCCTTCCTCTGGATTCTTGATTTCCTGTTCTCTTCCCTCTTCATAACTTTGCTTATTTATTGCAATTATTATTATTTATTTCAATACTTGGTCCTTCACGTTTGCAGATATAATGTAATAATAATCCTTGCATTTGATATAGTGCCTTATTACGTCATTGAGACATCTCAAAGCGCTTCACAGAATATATTGTACAGTGAATTGACTGTATATTATGTAGGCAAAACTGGGCAGCCAATTGTGCACAGTAGTAGAAAGTTAGAGCTCATCCAGGACTTAATGTCTGAAAGGCAATCAGTCAGAACTGCAGTTGTTCTGGGAGTCGAGGTTAGAGTCAGAGAGATAAGAGTTTGGTGGAAGTGGACCCTGTGCCTATGGATGACGATAGAGGATGGAGCATAGAACCCAGAGGAACAACGCACGTGACTGTGTGGGAGTGGGAGGCAGAGAGGGGATTAGATCTCTTTACTCACCAGATATTTTGGTTGATATTTGTACAGAGGCAGAAAGCTGCTCTGTAAAAGCTGTAATGTTCACTGTATAATTAGTCCCCGGCTGTAGGTCTAAACAAACCGCTGGGGAGATATCTGCAGTGGTGTAGTTAAACAATTCTGCAGTAAAGAAATCTCTTTGGTAGATTCTTTTCCCCCAGACCTGAAACTGGAAGAGAAAATATCTTGTGGCAAATACTCTGGAAAGCAAACATTGCATTCAGTTTTCCTGAACTTAACAGAAATTACAGGCTGCATACATTTTATAAGCAATCCTTGCATTTGGATTTCATAATAATAATAATAATTCTTGCATTTGATATATCACCATACCACGTCTTTGAGATGTCTCAAAGCGCATCACAGAATATAGTGTAAAGTGAATCGACAATATATTTTTATGGGCGAAATGCGGCAGTCAATTATCATCAGCAGTGAGTATCATTTAAGTATCTATGGATAGTTACATATTAACAATAATATAATAATAAATAATCCTTGCATTTGATATAGCGCCTTATCACCTCGTTGAGACGTCTGAAAGCACTTCACAGGATACACGGTAAAGTGTAGTGACAGTGTATTTTGTGGGTGAAACGCGGCAGTTGATTGCACACAGCAGCATTCCACAAACAGTGGTGGATTGAGTGATCAAATTATTATTTATTATTTTGAAGGGATTATTACTCCAGGAAAGCGATCCGCCAATCAACTAACAAACAGGTTCCTTACTGTTAGGTAAACAGAGATGCGTGTGTATGAGAAGTCTGGAAACTTGCCCAACATTTCGCCCTGCCCAGCCGGGAATCGAATTGAACCCGGGTCCTCTCGCTTCCGAGGTGAGCGCTCTTACCGCTACACTATGGTATAAACTTCACGAGAATAATTCTCACACTCACAATGGTAGCAATGGTGCTGTTGTGCCAGGCCCAATCTCCTATTCAGTGGTGGACTGACTATCCGGAAAATTGGGAAAATCTCCCGAATGTCCCGTGATTGACCGCCGTACCCCCATCAAATCGTACTCCTATTTTACTCCACAATTCCCAAGCCTTTTTGGGGAGTCAGCCATTACTGAACCCACTACTTATAAATACAGCACATGAAAATGGCGCCCACAATCGTTTTGTGTCAGCCCCACAAAAGGTTAATCCTCCAGCTGTCTACACATCACAACTTTAAAGCCATGCAGATAATTCTGACTCATTATTTTCCATTCTGAATTTGCACTGCAAATGTGTGTTTGTTTTTCTGTCTCAGCCTACTTTTGGTTTCACAGTTACTCACAGCCCCAGCCCTAAGGTCCTAAGGTCAAACCCCTTCACATGTATTCTCGTACATTGGAGAAATTCCTCCTTCACAATCCTCTTTGATCGTGCCTTCAGTCGCCCTCCCACCTCTCTGCCTTCCCTCACCTCTACCCTACCCCTCCCCGTGCTCGGGTTCTGACCCCTGACCGTCCAGCGCCTTCAGATGTCCTCGCGACGTGAAAGGCACTCTATAAATGTAATTTTGTTGTTGTTGTTGATCTAACAGTAATTAATAGTACACACTCCATTCCTCTAACATTGAGGACCATCCCTCTACCATTGCTAAAACTATAGATCTTTTTGTTACCCACTTGCAAGGTGTCTTGTACAAAATGATTATACAGTATACAAAATCAGCTTGCTTGCCCTCACCAGGTATGTGTCCTTGGATATTGATTGCATTCGGTCCCTCTTCCACTTCAAGCAGGAGTTGTTAAACAGAATAACATTAAGATTTGTTTTCTTAACTGGAAACAAAATTTTTAAAAAAAGGAAACAGTGTAAATTGGTAAAAACAGACATTGCTGGTAACAACAATCCGAATAATACATTGCTGGAGACTGATATACAGTAACTCAATCGCTCAACATAGCATCAATGTCAATCGCAACAATAATAACTTGCATTTATATAGTGTCCTTCACACCGGCTAGAGTCTTGGAGCACTGTACTAGGCTGTTCACAAAGTCCTGTTACCCCCATGTTTTTCTTGGATATCAATTGCATTATCAGTTAAAGTCAGTGCACTGACCACAACTGAAACGTGGAAGAATGATGATAATTGTATTTAGAAATACTTAATTGTATTCAGTACAAGTGTTTAACTGTATTCAGGCTTCCAGAGGATCAGTGTGTGTGAGAGCCATCATTTTCATGGCAGATAATGATCCTTCACTTTGTTCAGTAGCACATCTTCAGTAACATGATGGAGTCACAAGGTGAAATGCATCTCTGACAACTTGTTTCAGCTCCTCCATTGCCTTAGATCACTATTTTGTAACGGGGGTAACAGAACTTTGTGAACACGCTGTACAGTAGCCGAGCAAGGGAGAGGGAGGAGGTGACCATAGGCATGGTTGAAGAGGTAAAGTCTTCAGGTGGGATTTAAAGATAGGTGGAAGAGGTGAGATGGAGGGATTGAGACAGAGATTGAGATTCAGAGATTATGTGCATAGTGGCTCAAGGCAAGACCACCAGAGGAGAACAAACACTCTCCTGCTGGAACTGTGAAGCCAGGGGTAAGTTAATGTTTCACCCAGTTCCTAATCCCCAGTTCTGGATGTATTTAGTTTAAGAATGTGGTTACCTTTACATAGCAGAGTCACTTCTTTCCACCTCCCTCCTTCAGTGCAGACAGACACGTTCTTCCCTGACACACTGACAAATCCATCCTGACATGTATACTGTACAGCACTCCCTAGCTTGCTGCTGTGGTTCCAGATCAGTACTGCATTCGGGATTGTTGGTGGGTTCCCACAGTTAATCTCTTTAAAAGAAACATCACAAATATGTTTGCCCTTCACTTATGAATAGTTTTATTAATACAAGTTGAACTGCAAACAGCCATAGCATGTTTTTATATAACATAGTCAATGCTATGCTGTCACATTGCAGTGATATTGCTGGTCGCAAACTGACTGTAGCCCATTAGATACACCCAGTCACACCACTTTACAGTATATCCTGTGAAGCGGTTTGAGACATCTCGACAATGTGATGAGAGTCTATATCAAGTGCAAGGATTGTTATTATATCACACTGTGCTTTCCTGCATTCAGCTCCCACAAAGACCTGTCAGTGTGCGAGTCTTAAATTCAGTCTTAATTCGGCAGCTGGTTTACCACAGGACCCAGAAAGAACTGCACAAAATAAGTCTTTCAAATTAAAATGGAAATCAAAATGGTTTCCAAATGTTTGCACCATCATATATTTTTCGCCCACAAAATATACAGTCAATTCACTTTACAGTATATTCTGTGAAGCACTTTGAGATGTCTCGAAAGGCACTATATCAAATGCAAGGATTATTATTATTCTTTTTGGACAATGGCCTTAAACCTAAGAACATGAGAGATTTAGAGCCCCAACTCACTATTGCTTTTTCATTCATTATCTTTTCAGCGTGATTTAATACCAAATTCCGTGCAATCTTTTATGCACTAATACCTCGTGAGCATTAGTTGAGGACGAAGCCAGTAACAATCAACTACTACCGGACTGGAAAGTACTTCATCTTTGCCGCTATGTGAAAATAAATGGGCTAAATATAACAATTTACACTTATACAACACCTTTCACATCGGGAGGATATCGCACAGTGTGGGTTGGTAGACCGAGCTCTAGGAGAGTTGGGGGAGGGGGTGCACCGAGGGAAATAAATAGGTGTTGGGGTGGATTTGAAGACATGGAGGGAGGGGCAAGGTGGAGGGATGGCAATCCAGGGAGCAGGGCCAAAATTGTTGAAAGCGATAGTGGGACAGATGAGGCGAGGGAAAGGAAATTAGCAGGCTGATAAACTTAACACATAATTGTGTTATTCAATAATACAATTGGTGCAGAAGTCTTGGCACAATATTCCCGGGAACATCAGTCTAAGTCTGTTTCATACAGACAAAAATACAACTTACCTTTACAAATCAGAGCAGCTCCTTCCCACCGTCCTGTGACTGAGCAGACTGATATGCTGTTTCCCCCCTCGTTTCGATACCCAGGTTTACAGTGATACCGGATTTCACTCGTATGGGTCGTGTTTCTCACCAATGGCAGCCATGCATTTGGCACCTGAGCTGGAGGCCCACAGTCTATAACTGGAGTTAAGAAAGGAATTGGGGAAATGATTAATAATAATAATAATCCTTGCATTTGATATAGCGTCTTATCACATCGTTCAGACTTCTCAAAGCGCTTCACAGGATATATTGTAAAATGGATTAACCATGTATTTTATGTGTGAAACGCCGCAGCCAATGATGCACAGTAGATTGCACCCCTAGCAACCTTGTGCAAACCTTCACACGTACATACAACAGAAGCTTTTTGCAGGAATCTAATCTCACATCCCTGAATCCTCTTCAACAACAGAGCCCAATGTGGATAAATGGACAAGTGAATAATTGGTGTGCATATAACTGGCATTCTACTGTATCTGAATCCTTTGGTAATATTTACTGACTGTTATCTTCTTCTGATCAACTTCGGATTGTCACATAACATGTGTTCAGTATTTATGGTACAGCTGTGAATACCTTCAGTATCAAAGTGATCTACAGCAATTGCATGAAGCTGCCTTGACATCTGCAATGACACTTGCCATTCACTGTTAATGTCACACAATGGCAGTTCCCAAATTAATCTAGATCTATTTCTTAACTGTTTTAAACCATACATATGTGAAACTATCTAATTTGATTTCAAGATTCAAAAGCATGGTGATGAATTTCCACATCTTTCAGACACACCGGATGACTAAAAACACAATCTCTTTCACCAACTCGAGAGTCTATCTAACGGATTACGTCAGTTAGATAAGTAATTACATCAGTGATTAGATCAGCGATTGTAGCTCAATGTGAACAGGTACCTAAAGCTAAACATGTCACAAACACATTCTAAAAAAGTTAACATTTTGCATTAAAAATAATCAAACAATATTAAAGATTGTGCATTAGAAACTAAATTAGAAACCTTTGCAAATCAATGTGATGTTTTCCCACTGCCCCTTCACTGTGCATACAGAAATGTTCCTTCCTCCTGCACTGTAAAATCCTTCCATGCACTCATAGTAGACTTGGCTCCCGAGACTTGTGGTTTGGTTACGGATCACGTTGGCATTCTGCACTCCCGGTGGCGGGCCGCAATCAAGTTCTACACAAAAACACAATATGGAATTAGATCAAACACTCTAAATACTCCAACACTCAAAAACTTGGTTCGAAGGGAGTTTGTCCCGGTGTCCTGGCCAACAATCCTGGCTAGATAAATGCATCAAAAAAAACACAAAATACTGCAGATGCTGGAAATCCGAAACAAAAACAGAGAGAGCTGGGAAAACTCAGCAGGTCAGGCAGCATCTAAGGAGAAAGGAAAGTGAGTGAACGTTTCGGGTCCATGACCCTTCATCAGAACGGTCGTGGTGAAGGGTTATGACGAAGGGTCGTGGACCCGAAATGTTGACTCATTTTCCTTTCTCCATAGATGCTGCCTGACCTGCTGAGTTTTCCCAGCTCTCTAGATAAATGTGTCATTTATTTCAACACTGTTTGTGAGACTGACATGCAGAATGACTACTATGTTCGCACAGATTCATCACACTTGACAATAATTGCCTGTAATGTGCTTTGAAACCTTTGAGGTGATAAAGCACTATACAAACACAAGTTCTTGCTTGGTGGATACCTAAATACATAGTTATATCCTGTGTGACCCCAATGGCCAATTAACATAATAATAAGAATTCTTGCATTTGATATAGTGCCTGTTCACGTCTTTGAGATGTCTCAAAGCACTTCACAGAATATACTGTAAGGTGAATTGACTGTATATTTGTGGGCGCAACACAGCAGCCAATTGCGCACAACAGTGTCCCACAAAGAGTCGTGGATTGAGTGACCAAATTATGAGTTTTTTTTAAGGGATTATTATCCATGGAAAACAATCCACTGATTGACCAGTAACCAGGTTACTATTTACTGCTAAATAAACAGAGGTGTGTAGAATAACAAAAGTTGCCTAGATTCCATGAGTGTCTTGTGGCACTTAAGAACGCAAGAACATAAGAACAGGGTGAAACGTTGGACAAGTTTCCTTACTACACATGCCTCTGTTTATCTAGCAGTAAGTAGGAATCTGCTTGTTAGTCGATCGCTGTATCGCTTTTCCAGGAGTAATAATTCCTACAAAAATAAATTTAAAATTAATTTGATCACTCAATCTACGACTGTTTGTGCGACACTTCTGTGCGCAATTGGCTGCTGCATTTCGCCCACAAAATATTCAGTCAATTCACTTTACATTATATTCTGTGAAGCGCTTTGAGACGTCTCGGAGACGTGCTATAGCACTGCATCAAATGCAAGGATTATTATTATTATTATAACATGAGAATTTTCTAGGCGAAAGAAAACCAAGTTTGCCTTCCAGCATCCTGGCAGTCGCTTGACATATCATGTCCCAAACTATATACTGTATCCCAAGATATTATTTTCTAGCAGAAATCTATCTAATTTGTTCTTGAAACAAAAAACGCTTCCACTGTCTCTCAAGGGAGCCTGCTCTATAAGTTTACTACTCGTTCGCTGAAGTAGTGTTTCCACAGTTTTCCGCAGAAATAGGTCCAACTTCATGCAGCAGAAACCAACAATACCGAGCTCACCCTATAACACTGCGCCAATTGCACAAAATAGAAACTGCCCTCGATAATAATACAATGAAAACAATCTTTACAATTTGCCAAGTTTATTTGGCAAGCTGCCTTATGAAGCCAAAACATCTCAAGAGATTCAAAGAGAACTGCTTTTCCATTGAAGTGACTGTGCATCTTGTCGGGAAATGTGGAGCTTGGTAATGCTTGGAGTAATGAATGTGTGATGTTTTGCCAGGACAGCTGCAGTGTTCTGACTCAGTTTAATCTTCTGGAGAGTGGAGATGGCAATGCTGGAGAGGAGAGAATTGCATACTCTATCATTGAGATAACAACAACAAATTACATGAGTACAGTGCATTTCACATCAAGGGGGATATCCCGAGGCTCTGGACAGTCAGGGATTCACACCCGAGCTGGTGGAGCGAAGTATGTAAAGGTTTCAGCAGCAAGGAGGTTAGGTAAGTGTAGACAGGGGCTCAATGGGGGGGAGGGGTAAGCAAAGAAGAAAGTGGGCAATGATCCAGAGATGGAATTACCAATTGGGTTTGAACCTCGGCTCAAGGTCAAGAAGAACGGCAAGGGTGAGGATTAGAAAATAAAATCCAAGGACTAAATTCAGCCTCCACATGCACCAAACTGCTGATTGCTTACAGTGAAGGACATGGTCACAGTGACTAGCGCACAACCATAGCCACCTGGACCTCTGTCTATCCGTAGGGCCGGAATCCACACCAAATTCTCATCCAAACACTTACACTGGGACAAATATGAGGGACTATGACAAAAAAATTGCAGCCCAAAAACAAGGGGATTGAGTATCAGTGACATTTAACATTGCTCATCTCTATTGATCTGCTGAGCATTTATTCAAAGTTCCCAAACTGCCCAATATGGAACTTGTTATCAGCTGTCGGTAGGTATCCTTCTGGTTATCAGACCAGCCATTGCATTGAGCCAATCCTTCCTGAATCGTATGATATCAAGAAAGAAAACGATGCTGGTGGTTGAACAGCCTATAACGTGAAGCTCTGCGCAAACAACTTTAACAATTATACACAACTACAATAAATATCAGCAATTTACAGAGACCTCTGATCACATGGGGCCCAGCAATTCACAGTGCATTACTAGTGCAGTAGTAGTGGGCGCCATCTCGTGTTTCTACAAGAAATAACATGTACTTGTACCACTTAACAACCAATTCACTTCAGTAAAGCATAAAAAAACTAACAACCAGAAAAGGCCATTTATCCAACAAGCTCACTCCTTCTAAGACAGCGTATAACCAACCCTTCACTCCTCTTGCTATGGTGGGGAGGGCAGGGGTAGAGTTATCATGCACTGTCACCGGGTGTTGTGAATATTTTCTATTCATCTTCGTGTACTCCTCTTTAACTTGCCTTTGATCATCCTCCTTCCCCCACCTACCCTCCACCCTCCCCGATCCTGACCCTCAGCTCGGGTCCGAAACACTGATTGTCCAGCGCCTTGGGACGTCGTCCTCCTGACCTGAAAGGCGCTATACAAATGTAATTGTGCTTTTGTGTTGTTGTCGCCTTTGGTCACTTTCCTCCCCCTCCCCCTGGCCCGGCCCTGGGATCTGCAACTGTGAAGCGCTCTGAGACGCCGTCCGGCGTGGAGGGCGCTTTATAAATCCAAGTTGTTGTTGTTATTGTAGCACGTTTATCATAGGAAATCTCATTTAAAGTATATCATGATAATTCTGGTGCCGCTGATAGAGCCCTGCACATCAACCCTCATTGTCCTGTTTAAAGCAGGTTTAGAGACATCCTGGGACACAGACCTGTACACTGGAGACTCGCTCCTTCCCACTGTCCCCGGGCAGAGCAGATTGAGGTGTCGTTCCCACTGACAGCCACGTAGCCAATCTCACACCGGTACACAGCTGTATTGCCGTAGGTTGTGTTACCGAGCAGGTACCACCCTGTTTTTGGGACAGCCGGTGGTGAGCCACAGTCAACAGCTGAGGAGACACAAAGATATTGGTTTAGTCTATTTTTTGGTGTTTCTCCTAAACTTATAAACAAGATGTATCTCTCATCCCTGACATGTTACACAATGAGATGTTTTTTCCGATGTAATGGAATTTCTGTGATTTCCAAGTTCAGTGAATGTGTCTGTAACTCCCGTTAACTGTGCTCTGATAACACCGCTTGATCATTAAATGATCATTTGTAACAAGAGCCACTAACAAATCACTGGAGCCATTCACAATAGGATTGGGCTCTGGGTGGAGATGTGGTATGTTATCTACAGCAGCAGAAGGCCACAGTCAAGTTCCAAACAGCATAGCCATGTCTGTCCTTCACAACACTGGAACAATGTGGCTGGGTGGGCGTGCAAGCCTGTGCAAGCCTTGTACCTGGAACACTATTGCAAGCATTTTAATACTGCATTCAACTCACCAGCTCTTCAACAGACAGCTCACATGCAACTATAATAATCCATGCATTTGTTATAGCACCTTTCATGTCAGGCGGACGTCTCACAGGATGTACTGCAAGGTGTAGTGACTGTGTTTCGTAGGAAAATACCTATCACCGAGAGGCTGAAATCTCTCGGTTGTCAAACAACAAATAACAAATTACATTTGTATAGCGCCTTTCACGTCGGAAGGACGTCCAAAGGCGTTTGACAGTCAAGGATTTGGACCCGAGCAGGGGGTTGGGATCAGGGAGTGGAGGGCAGGGAGGGTACAGGTAAGTGGGTGCCCGAAGGCACGGTCGAAGAGGAGGGTCTTGAGACGTGCCTTGAAGGAGGCAAGGGAGGCGAAGGGACTGTGGGATGAGGTTCCAAAGGGTGGGGGCAGAGAGCCTGAGGGACCGAGCCAATAGTGGGGCAGGCAGGGTGAGGGACATGGAGCAGGCCTGCTGAGCGGAGAGGGTGGACACGTTGATATGGAGCTGTACACTGGAGCTATACACTGCAGACAGTGTTGGAGGATAATAATTAGGAAAAAGCTTACAGTCTTGGGTGAAAGAGAGTTTCTGTTAATGGGCAATTGTCTACAGAAAAGCTAACATGACCGAGAGAACGATTAGCACGAGGGCAAAGCATAATAATAATAATAACGTTTGCATTTGGTATAGCGCCTTATCATGTCGGACAACAGCAATAACAAAATTACATTTGGTATAGTGCCTTATCATGTCAGACAACAACAACATCAAAATTACATTTGGTGCATTACATTTGTGCCTTATCACATCGGACATATTCTCAAAGCGCTCCATACGATTTTACTGTGAAATGAAATAATAATAATAATCCTCGCATTTGATATGGCGCTTTTCACGTCTTCTCGACGTCTCAAAGCGCTTTACAGAATAAACTGTAAAGTGAATTGACTGTATATTCGTGGGCGAAACGTGGCAGCCAATTGCACACAGCAGTGTCCCACAAACAGTCGTGGATTGCAAATGACCAATTTACTATTGTTTTGTTTTTGGAGGGATTATTATTAGGCGTGTGGAGTAAGAAAACTGGCCCATGGTTCCGTCCTGCCTGGAATTGAACCCAGATGTCTCGCTTGCAAGCCAAGTGCTCTAACCACTGAGCTACAGGACTCCACTTGACTGTATTTGTTGGAAAACACAGCAACACAATTGCACACAGCAATATCCCACAAAGGTTAGGGTTAGGAGTGAATGATCAATTTTATTTGGGGGCTTGTTGGCCAGGACACCAGAGGAAACTCCCTTCTCTTTTCGAATAGTGTCATGGGACCTTTAACATCCACCTGAACAGGCAGACGGGACCTCAGTTTAACGTCTCACCTGAACGACAGCACCTCTGACAATTCAACACACCCAGCACTGCATTGGGCTGTCAGCTTATGTGAGTTCAAGTCACGACTAAAAGGCGAAAGTGCTATCACTGAGCCAAGCTGACACTAGCATGCACAAGAGCAAGACGTGTGCCAATAGCTTGGGGGCTGTGCCGATTGTTCGGGTGGGTCGCAGGCTTACCAGTGAGTTCCTCTGGGACCTTATCAGTATTTCCATCAGATCCCAGTTCCTGTACACAGGAAATCAAGCTTCATTTAGACTTGCTTGCGTACTTCAGTGACAGGGAAGCTGAACTTACTGCTCAACATGATGTTGCTGTGCTTCTCTTTTGTAAAGTCTAAAAGGACAGTGAGTGGCTCTGCAAGGTAAGAAGACTCCCTAATTTGTCACAAAATCTAATATTTATGCTGCCATAACTGGTTCCAAATACAGAACCAGAACCAGTTATACGAGTGATTTTTACATCTCGGCTGAGTATGTAGATTAACACACCTTCAACCTTCAGGCTGGCAAGGAATAACCACACAAAGTGCTGTATGTTTTTTAACACAGGAACACAGGAAAAGGAATAGGCCATTCAGCCCCTCAAACCTGTTCCGCCTTCAATTAGATCATGACTGATCTGTACGTCAACTCCAAATAACACGTACAAGTACAGGTAAGGATCCTTGGATGTGAACCTTTTCAATGTATTCCATGCCTGTCCATATACTCCAGAACGGGACTGAATTTCAGACACCATTTCATTAGCAATATAGAGATGACTGAGGATTGTACCAATTGACCCTACCTGGATGATCTCCATTCTACTGATTTGGCAGAATTTGGCAAAATATACTCGTAGCAAGAGATGTGTAATGGTTTGACTGCTGGGGAACATCACACATTGTCCAGTTTAAAGCATATGTAAGAAATATTCTGGTGCACAGACCTGTACACTGGAGACTCGCTCCTTTCCACTGTCCCCGGGCAGAGCAGACTGAGGTGTCGTTCCCACTGACAGCCATGTAGCCAATCTCACACTTGTACACAGCTGTACTGCCGTAGGTTGTGTTACCGGTATGGTACCGCTTTGTGTTTGGGATAGCCGGTGGTGAGCCACAGTCAACTTCTGAGGAGACACATAGACATTGTTTTACATTAACATTCTGTGGGTTTCTAAACTGTGGTTCACATTACATGTGTTATAATAGGATCCTTACAATATAACAGATTCAGACGCTAATCCTTCAATATAAAGAGTAGATCTGTTCAATAATGTCATTTTTTTAAATCAGCCGGGTATCTGACATTTTTGAAACCCCATCACCTTGCTTCAGACTATCCAAAACAAACTGAGAATTTTATGCATCCCACCTACACATGTAATAATTCAATGAGATCTGTACAGTGTGCAAGTCTCAGCACAGGATTTCCCTCAAGCCAATGGCAATGACCCACAGATAGACTGAGATATTAATATAAGAGATATATAGGGATCTGGCACATGAGAAAGAAAATCAGAAAGAAAAAGTCGCCACCAGAGAACATCACATATTGCCCTGTTTAAAGCAGGTTAGAGACATCCTGAGACACAGACCTGTACACTGTAGACTTGCTCCTTCCCACTGTCCCCGGGCAGAGCAGACTGAGGTGTCGTTCCCATTGGTATCCACATAGCCAATCTCACACCTGTACACAGCTGTACTGCCGTAGGTTGTGTTACTGAGCAGATTCCACACTGTGTTTGAGATAGCCGCTGGTGAGCCACAGTCAACTTCTGAGGGACACAAAGACATTGATTTACTTTATTTTTCTTTCGAAAGATAAACTTAAAAATAGAAATTATGGCTCCACACCCTGTGTGGTATAATAGGGATCTTCCCATTAAAATGCCATCTTTCTATTTTAATAATAATAATAACCCTTGCATTTGATAGAGCGCCTTATCACGTAGTTGAGATGTCTCAAAGCCCTTCGCAGAATATATTGTAATGTGGATTGTGTATTTTGTGGGTGAAATGTGACAGCCAAGTGTGCACAGCAGTGTCTCACAAACAGTCGTGGACTGAGAGACCAAATTTTTTTAAATGATTAATACCGACGGAAAGCACTCCACCAATCGACTAACAACCGGGTTCCTACTTACTGCTAGGTAAACAGAGGCGTGTGGAGTAAGGAAACTTTTCTAAGATTTCGCCCCATCCGGGAATCAAACCATGGTCCTCTCGCTTGCGAATACTCTAACCTCTACACTGCGGGACTTCACATAGTCCCATAGAACACGTCTCAAGAACATGACACCAAGTTTTCCAGGAGAAAATAATTATTTTTACTCTTAAAGATGCCATCCTGTACATCCTGAGACATAGACCTGTACACTGCAGGCTCGCTCCTTCCCACTGTCCCCGGGCAGAGCAGACTGAGGTGTCGTTCCCACTGACAGCCACGTAGCCAATCTCACATATGTACACAGCTGTACCTCCGTATCTTGTGTTACCCAATAAGTACCACCCTATGTTTGGGACAGCCGGTGGTGAGCCACAGTTAACCTCTGAGGTTGGTTTTGTGTATATCCCACTGCCATTAAACCTACCATCAAATACCCAGATAACAACAACAACTTGCACTTATATATAGCTCCCTCCAACCAGGGTAGTGTCTCAGTGGCGGAGCCTGACTTCAAACCAGGGGGAGTGGGTAGAGGTGGCTGTAAGCATGGTCAAAGAGGAAGGTTTTCAGGCGGGACTTGACAAAAGAGAGAGAGGGGGCAAGGCGGAGGGATTGAGGGAGAGAGTTCCAGAGTTTGAGGGCGTAGTGGCTGAAAGTGCGAACTCCGATGGTGGGGTGGAGGGAGTATCTTCTCTCGCACCTTCCGCTCACTTCATGGCTGTTTGTGGGACATTGCTGTCCACAAATTTGCTGTCATGTTCAACCACAAATACAGTGATGACATTTTACAATAAATCTTGTGAAGTACTTTGAGACATTTCAATAATGCTCTATATCAAATACAAGGATTATTATATTTGATAACTGGCATTCTGTATATATCATACGTATTAAAACTTATGCAGTGAAACACTATTATCAGTAGTAAGTTGTTTCTGAGTAGCTTGTTTTTCCATAAGTTGCAAAGGAATCTCAAGGCCACATCTCAGTGGGTGTGAAGAGTGTCCTCGGTGGTAAATTGAAAGAAGTCTCTGATAAGAGAAGCTGCTTCAAGCTTCACAGACATAGCAAGGGACAGGCTATTTTGTCTGAAAGCAGCAATAAATGAAATGAAAATAACTTTAAGCAACAGGTTCTCAATATGTACCCGCCATAATCGTTCGTCAAAGAGTAGCTGAAGTCACACCTGAGTATTGGTGTTAAAAAGTCTTAGAAAAGATGGAATTTGAATAGGAAAATAACTGAGCTGCTCTGAACTTCATCCATCATTGAGCAACAGTTAAGAGCTTCACTCTAATAAACTGCAAATGTTTATGTCTCAAACAAGACCTATAGAATTTGTTATGTATTTTAACAAAATATCTCTTTTCTGTCCAAATCATATTACTTCCAAATTATTGACAGAGTCAGAGAATTGCATGAAATGTAGACCCAAATGTTTGTCAGAAGCTTTGAGACTCTCTTTAAGTGAAGACCACCATATAGGTGCAAGTTATTGTTGTTTACCCTCAGTATGTTCCAACTTGCTTATACACTACAGGTAAATAGTAGATTTGTTTAAGATTGTAATTTCACTTATAAAAGTATCTGCGAAATATGTGAGTCTCATCACAGGATTTCCCTCAGGTCCATGCTACACAGTTGGACTGAAACGCTAATACAGTGGTTATGCAGAGATTCACCTTCAAACAAAACACACAGTCATAACACATAACATTGTATCCTGTGAAGTCCTTTGAGACGTCCTCTCGATGTGAAAGGCTTATTGTTTATTATTGTTATTTGGCACATGTGAAAGAAAATCAGAAATAAAAAGTCGCCATTGAGGAACATAACACATTCTCCTATTTGTGGGCTTTAGAAATAATCAGGGACACAGACCTGTACACTGCAGACTCATTCCTTCCCACTGTCCCCGGGCAGAGCAGACCGATGTGTCGTTCCCACTGACAGCCATGTAGCCAATCTCACACTTGTACACAGCTGTACTGCCGTAGGTTGTGTTACCGGTATGGTACCGCGTTGTGTTTGGGATAGCCGGTGGTGAACCACAGTCAACTTCTGAGGAGACACATAGACATTGGTTTACATTAACATTCTGTGGGTTTCTAAACTGTGGTTCACATTACGTGTGTTATAATAAGATCCTCACAAGATACTACTCCTTCAATAATAGTAGTTTTGTTCTGGAATAACCATAGCCACCTGGACCTCTGTCTATCCGTAGGGCCGGAATCCACACCAAATTCCCATCCAAACACTTACACTGGGACAAATATGAGGGACTATGACAAGAAAATTGCAGCCCAAAAACAAGGGGATTGAGTATCAGTGACATTTAACATTGCTCATCTCTATTGATCTGCTGAGCATTTATTCAAAGTTCCCAAACTGCCCAATATGGAACTTGTTATCAGCTGTCGGTAGGTATCCTTCTGGTTATCAGACCAGCCATTGCATTGAGCCAATCCTTCCTGAGTCGTATGATATCAAGAAAGAAAACGATGCTGGTGTTTGAACAGCCTATAACGTGAAGCTCTGCGCAAACAACTTTAACAATTATACACAACTACAATAAATATCAGCAATTTACAGAGACCTCTGATCACATGGGGCCCAGCAATTCACAGTGCATTACTAGTGCAGTAGTAGTGGGCGCCATCTAATGTTTCTACAAGAAATAACATGTACTTGTACCACTTAACAACCAATTCACTTCAGTAAAGCATAAAAAAACTAACAACCAGAAAAGGCCATTTATCCAACAAGCTCACTCCTTCTAAGACAGCGTATAACCAACCCTTCACTCCTCTTGCTATGGTGGGGAGGGCAGGGGTAGAGTTATCATGCACTGTCACCGGGTGTTGTGAATATTTTCTATTCATCTTCGTGTACTCCTCTTTAACTTGCCTTTGATCATCCTCCTTCCCCCACCTACCCTCCACCCTCCCCGATCCTGACCCCCAGCTCGGGTCCGAAACACTGATTGTCCAGCGCCTTGGGACGTCGTCCTCCTGACCTGAAAGGCGCTATACAAATGTAATTGTGCTTTTGTGTTGTTGTCGCCTTTGGTCACTTTCCTCCCCTGGCCCGGCCCTGGGATCCGTTACTGTGAAGCGCTCTGAGACGCCGTCCGGCGTGGAGGGCGCTTTATAAATCCAAGTTGTTGTTGTTATTGTAGCACGTTTATCATAGGAAATCTCATTTAAAGTATATCATGATAATTCTGGTGCCGCTGATAGAGCCCTGCACATCAACCCTCATTGTCCTGTTTAAAGCAGGTTTAGAGGCATCCTGGGACACAGACCTGTACACTGGAGACTCGCTCCTTCCCACTGTCCCCGGGCAGAGCAGATTGAGGTGTCGTTCCCACTGACAGCCACGGAGCCAATCTCACACCGGTACACAGCTGTATTGCCGTAGGTTGTGTTACCGAGCAGGTACCACCCTGTTTTTGGGACAGCCGGTGGTGAGCCACAGTCAACAGCTGAGGAGACACAAAGATATTGGTTTAGTCTATTTTTGGTGTTTCTCCTAAACTTATAAACAAGATGTATCGCTCATCCCTGACACGTTACACAATGAGATGTTTTTTCCGATGTAATGGAATTTCTGTGATTTCCAAGTTCAGTGAATGTGTCTGTAACTCCCGTTAACTGTGCTCTGATAACACCGCTTGATCATTAAATGATCATTTGTAACAAGAGCCACTAACAAATCACTGGAGCCATTCACAATAGGATTGGGCTCTGGGTGGAGATGTGGTATGTTATCTACAGCAGCAGAAGGCCACAGTCAAGTTCCAAACAGCATAGCCATGTCTGTCCTTCACAACACTGGAACAATGTGGCTGGGTGGGCGTGCAAGCCTGTGCAAGCCTTGTACCTGGAACACTATTGCAAGCATTTTAATACTGCATTCAACTCACCAGCTCTTCAACAGACAGCTCACATGCAACTATAATAATCCATGCATTTGTTATAGCACCTTTCATGTCAGGCGGACGTCTCACAGGATGTACTGCAAGGTGTAGTGACTGTGTTTCGTAGGAAAATACCTACCACCGAGAGGCTGAAATCTCTCGGTTGTCAAACAACAACAAACAACAAATTACATTTGTATAGCGCCTTTCACGTCGGAAGGACGTCCAAAGGCGTTTGACAGTCAAGGATTTGGACCCGAGCAGGGGGTTGGGATCAGGGAGTGGAGGGCAGGGAGGGTACAGGTAAGTGGGTGCCCGAAGGCACGGTCGAAGAGGAGGGTCTTGAGACGTGCCTTGAAGGAGGCAAGGGAGGCGAAGGGACTGTGGGATGGGGTTCCAAAGGGTCAGAGCAGAGAGGCTGAGGGCCCGAGCCAATAGTGGGGCAGGCAGGGTGAGGGACATGGAGCAGGCCTGCTGAGCAGAGAGGGTGGACACGTTGATATGGAGCTGTACATTGGAGCTATACACTGCAGACAGTGTTGGAGGATAATAATTAGGAAAAAGCTTACAGTCTTGGGTGAAAGAGAGTTTCTGTTAATGGGCAATTGTCTACAGAAAAGCTAACATGGACTAGGTGCCGATTGAAGCCGCTCAAATAGGGGAACTTGTCGAAATGTGCAGCTAAATGTGGATTGGGGAGCTGTCTCTGATACTGAATGCAACACTACAGTAGGTAGAGGCTGGGAATATGTGTACACATGTTGGTGGGGTACAATTTGATTGCTCAGTCACCAGAACTCTTGTCTCTGGGTCAGAAGGTTCAAGCCCCATGTCAGGACCTGAGATGATAGTCTCGACTTGCTGCTCCCCTATCCGTCTACAAAAATGTCAGTGCACGTGACAGCATTTATTGTGAAACGTTTGAGATGTTTAAATACTGAAGTGCTTCATGTAAGTGCCACTTTTACAGCAGAAACCGTGTGCTGAAATCTAGTTCCAAGAAATGACACAACAGGGCGGGTTTAGGTTACATTTAGTAATTGTCATAACCTTCTGCACATTGCAGGACTTTCTGACCGAGAGAACGATTAGCACGAGGGCAAAGGATAATAATAATAATAACGTTTGTATTTAGTATAGCGCCTTATCATGTCGGACAACAACAATAACAAAATTACATTTGGTATAGTGCCTTATCACATCGGATATATTCTCAAAGCGCTCCACACGATTTTACTGTGAAATGAAATAATAATAATAATCCTTGCATTTGATATAGTGCTTTTCACGTCTTCTCGACGTCTCAAAGCGCTTTACAGAATAAACTGTAAAGTGAATTGACTGTATATTTGTGTGCGAAACGCGGCAGCCAATTGCACACAGCAGTGTCCCACAAATAGTCGTGGATTGCAAATGACCAATTTACTATTGTCTTGTTTTTGGAGGGATTATTATTAAGCGTGTGGAGTAAGGAAACTGGCGCAAGGTTTCGTCCTGCCTGGAATTGAACCCAGGTGTCTCGCTTGCAAGCCAAGTGCTCTAACCACTGAACTACAGGACTCCACTTGACTGTATTTGTTGGAAAACACAGCAACACAATTGCACACAGCAATATCCCACAAAGGTTAGGGTTAGGAGTGAATGATCAATTTTATTTGGGGGCTTGTTGGCCAGGACACCAGAGGAAACTCCCTTCTCTTTTCGAATAGTGTCATGGGACCTTTAACATCCACCTGAACAGGTAGACGGGACCTCAGTTTAACGTCTCACCTGAACGACAGCACCTCTGACAATTCAACACACCCAGCACTGCATTGGGCTGTCAGCTTATGTGAGTTCAAGTCACGACTAAAAGGCGAAAGTGCTATCACTAAGCCAAGCTGACACTAGCATGCACAAGAGCAAGACGTGTGCCAATAGATTGGGGGCTGTGCCGATTGTTCGGGTGGGTCGCAGGCTTACCAGTGAGTTCCTCTGGGACCTTATCAGTATTTCCATCAGATCCCAGTTCCTGTACACAGGAAATCAAGCTTCATTTAGACTTGCTTGCGTACTTCAGTGACAGGGAAGCTGAACTTACTGCTCAACATGATGTTGCTGTGCTTCTCTTATGTAAAGTCTAAAAGGACAGTGAGTGGCTCTGCAAGGTAAGAAGACTCCCTAATTTGTCACAAAATCTAATATTTATGCTGCCATAACTGGTTCCAAATACAGAACCAGAACCAGTTATACGAGTGATTTTTACATCTCGGCTGAGTATGTAGATTAACACACCTTCAACCTTCAGGCTGGCAAGGGATAACCACCCAAAGTGCTGTATGTTTTTTAACACAGGAACATAGGAAAAGGAATAGGCCATTCAGCCCCTCAAACCTGTTCCGCCTTCAATTAGATCATGGCTGATTTGTACGTCAACTCCAAATAACACGTACAAGTACAGGTAAGGATCCTTGGATGTGAACCTTTTCAATGTATTCCATGCCTGTCCATATACTCCAGAACGGGACTGAATTTCAGACACCATTTCATTAGCAATATAGAGATGACTGAGGATTGTACCAATTGACCCTACCTGGATGATCTCCATTCTACTGATTTGGCAGAATTTGGCAAAATATACTCGTAGCAAGAGATGTGTAATGGTTTGACTGCTGGGGAACATCACACATTGTCCAGTTTAAAGCATATGTAAGAAATATTCTGGTGCACAGACCTGTACACTGGAGACTCGCTCCTTTCCACTGTCCCCGGGCAGAGCAGACTGAGGTGTCGTTCCCACTGACAGCCATGTAGCCAATCTCACACTTGTACACAGCTGTACTGCCGTAGGTTGTGTTACCGGTATGGTACCGCTTTGTGTTTGGGATAGCCGGTGGTGAGCCACAGTCAACTTCTGAGGAGACACATAGACATTGTTTTACATTAACATTCTGTGGGTTTCTAAACTGTGGTTCACATTACATGTGTTATAATAGGATCCTTACAATATAACAGATTCAGACGCTAATCCTTCAATATAAAGAGTAGATCTGTTCAATAATGTCATTTTTTTTAATCAGCCGGGTATCTGACATTTTTGAAACCCCATCACCTTGCTTCAGACTATCCAAAACAAACTGAGAATTTTATGCATCCCACCTACACCCCATTTCACATGTAATAATTCAATGAGATCTGTACAGTGTGCAAGTCTCAGCACAGGATTTCCCTCAAGCCAATGGCAATGACCCACAGATAGACTGAGATATTAATATAAGAGATATATAGGGATCTGGCACATGAGAAAGAAAATCAGAAAGAAAAAGTCGCCACCAGAGAACATCACATATTGCCTTGTTTAAAGCAGGTTAGAGACATCCTGAGACACAGACCTGTACACTGTAGACTTGCTCCTTCCCACTGTCCCCGGGCAGAGCAGACTGAGGTGTCGTTCCCACTGACAGCCATGTAGCCAATCTCACACCTGTACACAGCTGTACTGCCGTAGGTTGTGTTACCGGTATGGTACCGCTTTGTGTTTGGGATAGCCGGTGGTGAGCCACAGTCAACTTCTGAGGAGACATATAGACAATGGTTTACATTAACATTCTGTGGGTTTCTAAACTGTGGTTCACAATACGTGTGTTATAATAGGATCCTCACAAGATACTACTACTTCAATAAAAGTAGTAGATTTGTTCTGGAATGTCATTTTGTTTGGTCAGCCGGGTGTCTGACACATGCAAAAACACATCACCTTGATTCAAAGTATCACAAAGACAAAGTTTAGATTATTTGCCCCTAAATTTCAAAGCATTTCACAAAATATACCATAAAGTGGAGTGACTGTGTACCTTGTATATCAAATGCAAGGATTATTATTATTATTATTGTGAGTGAACGCATCACTAAGACCATGCAAATTTTATGCCTCAGATTAGTCTTCACTGTGTATCAGAGCAAAATATTATATACTGTGCAATACAATGACTGTCCCATATCATCTAACGCCCCTCCCTCAGCTCCATGCTGTTACCACCTGACAGATTTTCCTCAGCTGGTTCCTCTTGAATAACCTAGATGGTACTGAATAACCTAAATGGTACCTTGAGCTGGCTCCACTGGCTCCCCATCCCTCAGAGGATAGAATTCAAAATACTCGTCCTCACTTTCAAGGCCCTCCATGGCCTTGCCCCCTCCTGCATCTCTGATCTGCTGACCCCCTGTCAACCTGTCCATGCCTCTGTTCAGCAGCTCCAGCCTGCTCTATGAATCCGCTCAGCTGCCACTGCCCTTCCAATTTCCAACCCCTCCTACCTGCCCCCCTCACACTTCGACCACAACCCATCCCTCCTTCCATACCTTTGAACTTGTCACTCCCTCCTCTTTCACCACTATCGTATCCTCCATGAAGCTCACCACCTGTTCCCTGGACCCCATCCCCACCCCTCTCCTTAAATCCCAGCTACACCTCCTTGCCCCACTACTCGCCGACATCATCAATCTCTCCCTGTCATCTGGCACTGTTCCTTCCCCCCTCAAAGCAGCCATTACCACCTCCACCTTGAAGAAACCTTCCCTTGACCCATCACTGCTATCCAGCTACCGGCCTATCTCCCACCTCCCTTTTCTGTCTAAGGTCCTTGAGAAAGCCGTCGCCTTCCAGCTTCGCTCTTTCCTCTCCTCCCACTCCCTCCACGAGCCCCTCCAATTGGGTTTCTATGTTGCCCACAGAGTACACGAGCAAGGTCACAAATGACATCCTGCTCATGTGTGACCAGGGCTCCCTCTGCCTCCTTGTCCTCCTCGACCTCTCTGCTGCCTTTGATACTGTGGACTATTCAATCCTCCTCCACCACCTCTCCTCCCACCGACTGCCTGTCCGACGTCAAGTCCTGGACGAGGGACAACTTTCTCCAACGTTAGCAAGACCGAGGCCCTCCTGATTGGATCGCGCCAGTGCCTCCACACCTCGGGCGCTGGCAGCATCAGCCTCCACGGCTGCACACTCAACCTCACTAAGCCAGTCAGGAATCTGGATATCTTGTTTGACCCTGAACTGTCCTTTCTTCCCCACATCCGCGTCATGACCGGCACTGCCTACCACCACCTCCGCAACACTGCCAGACTCCGCACTGCCTCACCCCTCAGGCTGCCGAAAGCCTCACCCACGCATTCATCACATCAAGGCTTGATTACGGAAACTCCCTCCTCATCGGCCTTCCCAACTCTTCCCTTCACAAGCGGCAGATCATCCAAAACTCTGCAGCTCATGTACTCTCGCGCACCAGGCTCCGTGACCCCATCACTCCCACCCTCACCCGACTCCACTGGCTCCCCATCCCCCAGAGGATCGAATTCAAGATCCTCGTCCTCATCTTTAAGGCCATCCATGGCCTTGCCCCCCCCTACCTCTCTGATCTACTGACTCCCTACGAACCTACCAATGTAATTTTGTTGCTGTTGTGTAGATGGTACCAACATGTAACACAGATATAATAGAGTCATGTACACACCGAACATACAATTGCTGAGTTTAAACTTACGTCTTATTACTGGCACTCAAACAGAAAGTTGATACAAGTAACAGAAATTCAGAATGCAAAGTCATTGTTGGGACACATTACACATTGAGATCAAACGCTTTGTTACAGGAATGGCCTGCAATGAGTCTCGAGTTACAAATGTCAACTCCTTCCAGTAATCAGAAGCACCCTGCTGAACCGCTGGAACTGCGCTCCGGAGGTAGAAGGTGGTGGGAGCAAAGTTCCGGTACTCCCATTTGTCCCACAGTTGTTATTAAAGAAACCTATTGGAAATTGTTGTGTTTTAGTCGCCTATATCCAGTTCGAGTTGGCTTTAGTGACACAGACCTGTACACTGAAGGTTCGCTCCTTCCCACTGCCCCCGGGCAGAGCAGATTGATGTGACTTCTCCTTTGAAGAGCACATAGCCATCTTTACATCTGTACACAGCTTTACTCCCATAAACCGTGTCATGTTGCGGGTACCACTCCGTATTTGGAACACCTGGTGGGGATCCACAGTCAACAGCTGAGGAGACACAACACCATTAAAGTTTCTAAATGGAATTACAATAGTAAATACAGAAGAACAACAGCTTGCACTTATATATATATAGCGCTCTTCACATGGGGCAGGGCCTTGGAGCATTTAACCGTCTGGCACTAGTACGGTCAAAGAGGAAGGTCTTCAGTCATGATCTAAAAGAGGGGGCAAGGTGGGGGCATTGGGGGAGAGAGTTCCAGAGCTTTGTGGTGTAATGGCTGAAAGAACAACACTTTCAGAGACCGCAAGGCAGCAGAACAATATTATATATTAAAAAAATATAATTAGGTTCCAGGTTGTGAATGCAATTTCACTACAGACATAGCGAAGTATTTTGTTACACCCACAAGAGTGATCTTGCTTAGAATTATGGAAAATTATTCAATTCGGTCTATATTTGGAAGCCGGTTTCTTTTACAGAAAAAATGTCACCTCCAAATTAAGACTGAAATTCAGAGTTTTCCACAATTCATTCAAATTCTTAGATTTGAAAGTAAAATTGGCCTGACAGGTTGATTTTTGTGCACTGTGCCAAAAAGTCAGAGATGTAAAATTGAGTTTAGAGATTTTAGAGAGTGATGGAGAAACACCTGGAGAGTAAACATATTAATGGATATGGTGGGAAAGCAGGAGATGGGATAAGATGTTTGTATGTGAGCCATGAATTAGACTGTGCATAGTGGGTTCAATGAATGGAAATAGCCTTCTCTTGTTCCTAATTTCCTATTATTACTGACTGAGCCATCCAAAGAGCTATTCAGTCTCCCTTATCAAAAANGAGTCTGCCCCTCCCAAAAATAATGAGATTAGCTTTACCTCACACCACTGACACACAAACATTAACATTAAGAGTTGTCCAGGATTGAGATGAGCAACAGAAAATCAGAACATCACACATTGTTTTGTTAAAAGCTGGTTTAGAAACATCCTGAGACACAGACCTTTACACTGGAGACTCGCTCCTTCCCACTGTCCCCGGGCAGAGCAGACCGATGTGTCGTTCCCACTGACAGCCCCGTAGCCAATCTCACATCTGTACACAGCTGTACTGCCGTAGGTTGTGTTATCCGGCAGGTGCCAACCTGTGTTCTGTATATTCGGTGGTAAGCCACAGTCAACAGCTGAGGAGACACAGACAATTTTTAATTTTTTTATAAAAACGGGCTATGCTGTTCTTTAATAATAACAATAATCAAAATAGGCTAAAGTTGCATAATTTATAAGTTTTGACCCAACTTTTTGTCCACGGAAGAGAAAATAATCCAACAAGTTGTGTGGCCTTTACCAAAATTGAAAATGAGAGATAACAACAGTTGCAGGTGAACCTTTACCCAATACTGACACACAGAGACATCCCCAGACACACTACCAGCTTCAGGCTTTTATTAATCTATCCATCACGTGAAAGACATTCTAGTTAAAACGGTGATCAGGAGGGCATACAGCTAAGAGGCTGCGTATGTTAATATACAATAATAATAATTCTTGCATTTGATATAGAGCCTTATCACATCTTTGAGAAGTCTCAAAGTCCTTCACAGAATATACTGTAAAGTGGATTGACTATATTTTGTGGGCAAAATCTTTCTCCAATAAGATCCAGTGAAATGAAGTCCCATATCATAGCAGTGTGAAAAAGTCCCATGGCTCCATAAATGGTCACAAGGAAGTTATTAGTTGACTTCATGGCTGACTTTAGCAGGTGAACTATTTGTGTATAAATAGAGGAAGCACATACATGCAAACGTCTAAGTGGTAACACAGCTGTGGACTCGAGCAACATCCTCCAAATTTCTCATTGTACAGGACGTCATCTGAACTCCTTGATGTGTCACTGACTCGGAAATTGCTCCCAGCTATGCATAAACTTATATTTACACATTACAGAATTTTATACATCAAAAAAGTTTTTCCTCAGGGTCAAAGTGAATTGTGGAAACAGGATACTTCACATAAGGCACACTTTACTGAGTCACAAGAGTGATTTCCTAATATCATTGCTCAAAAGAATATCCTGTTTTGCCTTACTTAAGCGTATCAGAACGGACACATGTGAGCGAAGGAAAAAGAGAAAGGTCCACAAAGGAAATAGGCTGATTGCACAGCCAGCGTATCTGCGCAAACCATCAATGGAGATCAGAGTACAAACCAATCTGACAACTAATCAATAGGCACTTTAATAACCAGGCGGAAGAATATAACACAATCTGCTCCAAAGATAAAATAATTGCTGTCCCAAAAAGACCCGAATTCCCACCTCGCCCCTCCTCAAAATATACACACATAAGTTTTATTCACCACTATCGGCAGTCGGGCCTGCAGCTTCTCTGCCCCCACCCTTTGGAACTCCATTCCCTTCGCCTTGCTTCCTCCCTTGTCTCCTTCAAGGCCAATTTCAAGAACCTCCTCTGCAACCACGCCTTCGGTCACCCTCCTACCCAGACCCTCCTTGCCTTCCACGCCTCCTGATCCCAAACCCCAGCTCGGGTTCCAAATCCGTCATTGTCCAGAACCTTGGGACATCCTCCCAATGTGAAAGACGCAATGAAAATGTAATTTGTTGTTGTTGAATTCATAGAATCATACAGCACATAAGGAGGCCAATCGGCCCATCGTGTCTGTGTCGGCTCTTTGAAAAGAGCTATCCAAATCAATCCCACTCCCCCGCGCTCACCCCATAGCCCTGCAAACTTGTCCTCCCCAAATTATAATCTAATTAATCTAAGTATTCACTGGTGCTCACAGCAACTAAATAAAAGGGAGGAGATGGATGCTGAATTTTCCCTGTAACTGCAAATAAATCACCCACCAGGCAGGGAGAACTCACTCTAATGGCTACTGCTAACTCTGGACTTCAGGGATCGACTTGGTTTCATTTTCCTCAATTCAAATGTTAAAGGTTGTCCATTAATGATTTTCTCCTGGATTAGGATGATCCCCATTGTTAGTGGATTAAGAAAGTAAACCTAGAAAATACTTTCAGGGCTGCCAGGCAGCAGCACAAAAGGGTATAGGTTCAATGTACATTTGTTAACAAAATAAAGTATAGCCTGGCTATTAATAATAATAATAGTGATCATAATAAGTCTGAGAAGCACATCTCTCATGTGAGCTTGCCTGCCCTCTGTGGGGAATGGGTCCCAGACTGGAAACAATACTATTATTGTGCAAATGAATTTCACGCATCTGTTTGGGCCATTCTCTTTCAGGTGATGGGCTGGTATATCTCACTTAATGCACATGAACATTAGTATTTTTTTGTCTCAGATTTCAAGGCAAATTTCAAGTTCATATTTCACCCAACCAGCTAAGATTTCCACTTTTGACAAAATTGATAAAATAGTGAAATGCTAATAATAATCCTTCTATTTGATATGTTGCCTTATCGTGTTATCAAAACATCTCAAAGTGCTTTACAGGATTTTATTGTGAAGTAATGACTGTTTATTTGTAGGCAAACACGGCAGCCAATTTGCACGCAGCAATGTCCCACAAACAGCCCTGAAGTGAGTGACCAATTTTACTTTGGGGGATTGTTGTTCAGGACATCAGGAGTAACTCCTTTCTCTTTTTGAATAGTGCCATGGGATCTCTCAGTTTAACATCTCATCAGAAGGATGGCACCTCTGACAATGGAACACACCCCCAGCACTTCATTACAGCCTGGACTCTATGGGTTCAAAAACCCGCCATAGGGATTGAATCCATTACCTTTTGACTGAGAGGCTGACACACATAACTTGGTTACCCAAATTTTCCTCTGGTAACTGCACTGCTCACTACTGGACTTGACACTATCTTCTACAAAGCAAAGAGAAGCAAAACTTCATACAATGAAAGTAATCAGAGATCAGTATACATACTTATGCAGTGACTTCCGTCATTGGGAGTGAAGGACGACATATTATTGGATGGTCTATAACCTGTACTACATGTACAATAAAAGCTGCCATGTGTATTGTAACAAGCCGCATGGTATCCACAGACCAAGCGACCGGCTTTAATCTGGCATTCGTTTTTATCTGTGAATTGAACACACAAAACACACACAAACACATTAATGAACAATTTTCACAGCATAATAATAATCCTTGCATTTGATATAGCACATTGAGACGTCTCAAAGCGTTACACAGAATATATTGTAAATATGCTTCAAACATCCAGATAACAAGGACCGATCTCAATCATAGGCTGTCTATACACTCGGCTGCATGTCTAGCTCCTTGCTGACAGATGTATAGAAAGTTCATTATACCTCTGAGTGGATTCCAAGAATTCCAAGACCAGAAGCTCTTTGAAGGTGGTCCAAGTGATATTGTAAGAATGAATCAAACGCAGTTAATGTTCAACATTTGATCCCTTAAATCACATTAGTCGTAAACTAAGTGATCACCTACCTACATGAAGCCAACATTGGTTCCACTGAGCATTGGGACTTCTGGCTGGGCAGGGCAGCTGGCTGTATATTGAAAGTTCAGTTATTTTACAGGCCAAATGTTCCTTGGTGTTTATGGTGCACATTTGGATGAACACAATAAAAAATGTATCTTGGAGCAAATGACCACATCATCCATAGGACAGCACGGCTAAAAATGCAATGTCCTCCCTTGTCACGGAGCAAACACATTGTGCATTGGAGCTCCAGAGTGTTGCGTTACAGAGGAATGGGACTTGGATATCAATTCAATTTCCTACAATACTGACCCCCTCTCCTCTTTGCAGGAAAGTCCAGTGACTGTGTGTTTTCATAATGGGCAAATCTATCAGGCACTGGGCATCAATGGGAATTTCTCAGTGTGTTTGTTTTTAAGGGGTCTAAAGGCAGAAATATGTAAGATTATTGGAAGAGAGATTACAGTGCGTAGGTTATGTGATGGCTTAGCACCCACAGGCCCATTGTAACAAGATAGACAAGGAGGATTTGCATCCATAATTCCCACACTGAAGGATTGGCTTTATACATGCCATTCAGGATAGGCTGGGCTGGAACTGGGCTGGGATCAGTGAGCTAGCTGCTCACGTGTATTCTGGCACATGACTTACACAGCACCATTGGCAGTGACCTGGGAGCAGATCTTCTTGGTACAATATTTGTTAAGAAAATTCAAATAAGGGAAGAAGGAGCTGAACATTTAAATCTCTTATGAAAACAAAAACAAAATAATACGAATAAGTAGAATAATAAATGTAAATTCAAATTGCCTTCACTCTTCCCTCCTCCTCCCCAACTCCAAAAAATATTAATTCGACTCTGGTTGTCTAATTTTGGGACTAACATTTTTATATTGTTATTGGCAGGTTTTATTGGCAAGGTAATATTGGATTGAACAGTTAACAGAACCAGCCTGTTTCCTGTAGCTTTAGCCTCAGCTATTCCTTCACAGTCACACCACAGAAATAACAAATGCAAATTCTTGACAAATATCTCACCGGAACAGAAATTCCTTCCATTGCCACTGAATCCGTAGTTGCAGATACAGGTTTTGTAGTGACCTCTGTCGTGGCATGTAGCGTTTCTGTGACACGTGGCACACACATCTCTGATTGAGTCCGTTGCTACAGCTATGCCTGAAAGAAAGCCATAGGCACTTAACAGTGAAATGGGCTTCACATTGCTTGTTCACCACCCTCCTTACGTGGTCTCATCTGAAGCCAATGGCACACTGAGTTAGTACCTCATTCAAGTCATTATGCATCATGTGTAAACAGAGAGTGTGGGCTAACTAGTCAAAAGGAATGTCCACCACCAGTCAAAGATCATTGTATAATTGTAGCGATTTGCCCACAAAATATACAGTGAATCCACTTTACATTATATTCTGTGAAGCGCCTTTGAGATGTCTCGAAGACATGATAAGGCATTGTATCAAATGCAAGGATTACTATTATTATTAATATTGTATACTTTGCCTGAGTATGTTACTAGGAGCAAACGTGTCACAGCAATTTTACAATACCACTAAAAATGGAACATTCCGAACTGCTTTTAAACACTGAAAAATGTTCTGAAATGATTATTTCTTTGACCATCTGGGTCAACAGTATACTGTCCATTGTATTGTCTCAAAGATCTGGTCATTTCCCTTCAGAGGAGTTAGGGCTAGACTTAGACTCAAAAAAGCAGTGAATAAAGAGGAGTGCACAGCAAATACAGCTGCAAAACCTCCCTTTGTATAATTCTATAGCTTCGCCATTTTGCTCAGAGATGCATTTGGAGTCCGGGCATTGATCCTGCTTTGGTCAGAAGCCTCAATACGAAAAATAAAAAGGAAAAGAACATTTGTGTATCCCAAAGCATTGGGTGGCAGGGAAGGAGATGGTAAGAATGGCTTGTGTGAAAGTCCAGTTGGAAAAATGCTACAACAGAGTTCTCACGAGAGTCATTTCTGTTTGACTTTGCATTTCCCCTGTTCAAAGAGCACTAACGCTGCTGGCGGCAGTGGTCATTAAGCTGTTTCATGCTCTGTCATGACAATATACAAGTCTGGGAATTAACATAGAAACATTTTACATTGAGATTGAAGAAGGATATAAAAGCAATAGTAACAGTGCACTCGCTGTAGATTCAAAGTTGGATTGTTAAAATAATAATATTAGTAATAATATGAATAATCCTTGCATTTGATATAGCACCTTACACGTCAGGAGGTCGTCTCAAAGAACTTCACGGGACTTACTGTAAAGTGCAGTGACTGGGTATTTTGTGGGCAAACAAGGCAGCCAATTTACGTAAAGCAATATCCCACAAATAGCCATGGAGTGAACGATCATTTTTTTTCTCTCTTGGGGGTTTGGCCAAGTCACTGGGAGAAATTCCATTCTCTTTTTTTGAATATTGCCATGGGATTTTTAATGTCCACCTGAACAAGCAGACATTGGTTTAACATCTCACTCAAAGGATTGGGCCACCAATAATGTATCACTCCCCATCACTGTATTGGAATGTCAGCTAAGACTATGTGAGTTCAAATCCCAACGTGATGAATCCACAACCTTCTGCCTCAGAGGCAAGAGTGCTAACAACTGGGGGGCCGTCCTTCGGATGCAATGTTAAACCGAGGCCTGACTGTTAAAGTGCTAGTTAAAAATCTCATGGCACGATTCAAAAAGTATTTCTCTCAGTGTCCTGGCCAATAATTCCCCACATAAAATTGGTCATTCATTTCATGGCTGCCACATTTGCATACAGATAAAGTCACTATACTTTACAGTACATCCTGTGATACACTTTGAAGTGAGGAAATTCAGTAAAATATTCAATGCCCAAATTCCCAGGAGCAAATAAAAATCTTCGGTGAGTTTTATATATCCTTCAAAGTGAGCGATGTCAATCCTGGGAAATGAACTTTCTCCCATATAGTCCACCCATTCCCAGTCCAGGTCCTGCATGGTTAGACACAAAACAAAGCTCTCACTCGATTCCCATCCTTGCTATCGCTCTGTTCTACCCCATCCTCAGGAGAGCAACAACAACAAATTACATTTATATAACGCCTTTCACGTCAGGAGAACATCCCAAGGTGCTGGACAGTAAGGGATCCACACCTTCTTCTGTACTCATGTGATTTGTCACTTGCCTCCTTGAGTATGGGGCCAATTCAGTTTCATTCACAGTACTGTAGTGTTAAATTAAGAGTATTTCAGTGCTATAAACCCACATTCACTGGTGTGTGGATTGAGATTGCCCCAGACTCAATCCCATAGGAGTTTTAAAGCCAACCCACAAAGGAAGCTTTCTTCCATTATTCTGGTCTGGACTTGAATTTGGGTGCTATATTCTGGATCATCATCATCACAATAATAAATAATAATCTGCAAAAAGTAGCCGTTTTTGGAATATATTAAGAAAGTATATTAAGAAAAGTAACATCCATTCATATGTAACGTGGCAGTGTTATTGGTCTGGTTGACCCATCACTGAAAGCCATTTAGAAACTATCTCTGCAGAGTGATTTAAACTGTAATAACATAATAATAATAATAATCCTATACAGTATACTGGGTTATACATACTTAAGTCAAAGTGGACTGCACTAGGTTAGTTGTCAGTTGCAGGATATGATCATGAACAGGAGGACGCAATATTCCTTCACTAAATTGTTTGACCACCAGCTACACTACAAGATATCAGCTGCAAATGACTGTATTGACACGTGTTTTACAGCACAATGTGCTCAAGGAATTATTTTGCAATTGGTAAGCAGAATTCTAAGAGAATCCCAAAACAAGTACAAATCTTTATAATAATATAATAATAATAATGCAGTATTTATCAAATGCAGCCGAAACCCTCGAGCATGTGTTGCTCACCTCCCGCCTGGTTTACTCAAATGCACTTCTCGCTGGTCTCCCCAGCTCCACTATTCAAAAGCTCCAGCTCACTCAGAACTCTGCCGCCCACATACTGACCTGGACCAAACTCCGTACCACATCTCACCAGGTCTGGCCAGGCTCCACTGGCTCCCCATCACCGAACAGATCGACTTCGAGATTCTCACACTCCTCGTGTTCAAATCCCTTCATTCTCTGACACCTCCCTACCTCTCCGACCTCCACATTCCCCAATCCACCACCCAGCGCCTCCACTCGACTGGCACCGGCCTCCTCCTCGTCCCTCGTATCCTCTGCCCTATCATCGGAGGTCGCAACTGAATTCTGCTTTCAGCCACTATGTCCCAAAACTCTGGAACACGCTCCCTCAATCCCTCCGGCTTGCCCCTTCTCCCCCCTTTCAAGTTCCGCCTGAAAACCTTCCTCTTCAACCGTGCTTACGGCTACCTGCCCCCCCAACCCCAGCTCAGAGTCAGGCTCCACCACTGTTAAACGCCTGCATGAAGGGTGCTATACAAGTGCAAGTTGTTGTTTTTGTTGTTACGTTCATTAGATTCCCTTTAAAAATAACACATTATTTTTAGTTATAACATTTTTCAAAACTATCTAAATACAGACACTCCTGTGGCTCTCATACGGAAGTTTAGGACACACATCAACTGCAGGATGAAGAATGACATATAAATGTAATATTAAGTAAACAGAGTTATTTTCACAGTCAAAATTGATTGGACTCACGTTGTAAATGCAGAAGGCTGCAGGCGATCAGCAGGACACTGCGGTGTAGTGTGTGGAGAGTGGGGCTCCTGCCCCTGGTCACCTCTGCCCTCATTGCTGACTCTGACACTGACACTGAGCCTCTGTGGTTGCTTTGCTCCTCCTTATATTCACTGGTACAGAGAGTGCCTGCCTGCCTGGCTGTCGGTCTGCTGGCTGCTCTGCATCTGGAGATCTATGATAAGTGTGTGTGTGTGTGTGTTTAAACCAGTGGGGAAACTTGGAAAAGTAGTGAAAATAAAAAAAAGTTATTTGTAGCTTTGTTATCAATTTGGAGCTGAAAATAAATAGGCTGCTGTTTTGTGATCTACTCAGACAGCACACAATGAGTCCCACTGCAGTTTGCAAACACTCTCATTTTTATTTGGCTACCTGTCTTATATATTACAATAAGGCGGATGTTTCTATTTAAGGAGGGGAAGAATTAATATCCATAATGTTTTTACCATATTAGGCTTGACTGTAATTGTGTGATTCACAATTTCCTGTAGTATTTTTACTTAGGAGGGAGGGAGAGGAAATACAGTACAGTAGAAGACCAGCTGAGAGGAGCTTTGATGTTAGCAGCCAAAGCAGTGAGCTTCACAGTACAATATACAATGGGGCTTGAGAGGCAATTCTACTGTTACAGTTTTAGATCCTTTCACATCTCTTCCAGATTCTTGGATTTTGTTTACGCATTAGACATTTTCTTTGCATATCATTTATTGTAAAATGTTAGTTGTGTGCAAACGTAAAGCTGAGAATCATATATTTTTTCCTACTGTAATTATCATAATAATCCTGGCAATTGCATTTAATATTGTTGCAACTGATTCAGCACCTGATCAACTCATCGAAACGCCCCAAAGTGCTTCACAGGATATACTGTAAAGTGTAGTGACTGCATTTGTAGGCGAATCCAACAGTCAAATTTTTGCACACAGCAATGTCCCACAAACAGCCATGAAGTGAATGAAAAATTTGATCTGGGGAATTATCAGCCAGGACACTGGGAGAAACTCCCTTCCCTTTTCCAATAGTGCTTTAATGTCTTTAACGTCCACCTGTACAGGTAGACAGGACCTCAGTTTAATATCTCATCAGAAGGATGACACCTCCAACAGTGCAGTACCCCAACACTGCACTGGAGTGTCACCTTAGACTATGTAGTGGAGTCTCTTAGCATAGTCCGCATCACCCCCTCCTTTGCTTCCTTCAAGACCCATCTCAAGACCCTCCTCTTCAACCGTGCCTTCAGTCATCCTCCTTCCCTCCCTGCCCTCCATCCTCCCTGATCCTGACCCCCAGCTCGGCCCCGAAACACTGATTGTTCAGCACCTTGGAACGTCCTCCCGACGTGAAAGGCGCTATACAAATGTAATTTTGTTGTTGGTTAGTGCACTTGCCTTGCAAGTGAGAGGACCCGGGTTCAATTTTGGTCCAGGTGAAACCATAGGTAAGTTTCTCCATACGCCTCTGTTTACCTAGCAGTAAGTAAGAACTAGTCAATTGGCAGTTTGTTTTCCGGGTATACCACTCAATCCACAACTGTTTGTGGGACACTGCTGTGCGCAATTGGCTGCTGCGTTTTTGCCCACAGAATACAGTCAATTCACTTTACAGTATATTGTGTGAAGCGCTTTGAGACGTCTCAACAACGTGATAAAGCACTATATCAAATCAAGGATTATTATTATGAATTCAACCTTCTGATTCAGAAGAAATGGAATCGAATAAATTTTTGAAGAAGAATAATATAACATAAAAGGGTGTGAGGAGCAAGCAGGTTATTGAATGTTAGAGCAGGGAGCTCCAGTTGAGAAGCTAGCACCATCTTAAACTCGATGGGCCGAATGGCCTCCTCTGACTGTGATTTCTATAACCTATCCTTCACGAACGCCACAGTGATCTGTTTCAACAAATTAAAATAAAGTTTTGTTCAAAAGATTTCAGAAGCTCCTCAGATCATTTCCAACCTTTTATCAAGTATCACCTTGCAAAACAGGTCATTCGTTGTTCATTTCTTCCTTCCTCCAACCCTCCCTGCATCGTAATGTCATGTCTCAGGCACTATTTTCCAGTTCCTGATAGGAAACGTCATGTGTGCAATTTGGATACCAAGTTCTTAAAGAAGAAGTTCCCGAATGGGGCTTCCGTAAACATGTACATCTTACGCAATATCAAAGCCTTATCTGCCAGGAGGAACATCAATAAGGAAACTGACAAAGGAGAATTTCTTAAACATTGGCAATGAAATAAAGGCAATGAGGAGTGAAACCCAGAAGACGTCAAGCTATTTTAGATGGAGCAGAGAGGCTTGTTCCAGCATACTACAGATAGAAACCCCTGCAGTTGCTGAGATCAGGTACTCTGTGATGTAGGGAGAGCATTTGGGACCTCGATTTCATAAACATCTCATAAACTGAGGACCCTTCTGCCTGTTCAGGTGGACATTAAAGATCCCTTGGCAGTATTTGAAAAGAGAAGAGAGTTTCTCTTTCCTGGTGTCCTGGCCAACAGTCCCCCAAACAAAATTGGTCACTCACTCCACGACTGTTTGTGGGACATTGCTGGCTGCCATGTTTCACCCACAAAACACAGTCAATCCACTTTATAGTATATCCTGAGAAGCGCTTTGAACCATCTTGATGACATGATGAGGCACTATATCACATGCAAGGATTAGAACTGCTCCCATAGATAAAGCCACATGTATAGTGTGGTGATCAAGGACTGTGGCCTCCTGTGGAGATACATGCTGGCATTCACTTGTGGAGCATTTTTGTTTTAGGGCAAAGGGTGTTCTGAGGTTTCATTATTGTTCTGTCAGGGATGATGATGGAGAGCAACCCAATCGGAATGAATAACATATGTTCTCCAAAATGTCACCCCTAGATGCCAAGTTTGGTAAAATTACACACATGATAAAGACGTTCAGAAAAACGACAAACGGACTGATAACACAAGAGTAAACAACAACAAGCTTACATTTGTACAGTGCCTTTCACGTCGGGAGGACGTCCCAAGGCGCTGATAAAGAGCTTGACCAGAGAACATAAATGAGACATCTCCATTTGGAATTATTGATCTTTCAATGGGCGACAGAGGAGAAAGAGTATTGATGGGTTTGACTAAAAAGCCCCAAATTAATATTCTGGATCTACCCAAAGGAAGGCCGCCAATCACAGAGGCCAGAGTCCTGCCCTTTGCTTACACTAAAATTAAGATTGAAGCTTCTCTGTGTGTTTGGCATATGTCTGTTGAACCAGCATTGAAAAATACTTGAATTAACTTTTTCCAGCATCTTCTAATGGTGAAACAGTTGAAAGGACCTACAGTGATTCTTTTTGTTGGAGAAAGCAGCAACTATTTTTGGCACAGCTAGGTACCACAAACAGCCATGAAGTAAATGAACAATTTTATCAGAATGGTTGCTCGACTAGGACATCAGGAGAGACTCCCTTTCCTGTTCAAATGGTGTCGGGGGTCTTTATCGTGCACTTCAACAGCAGGCAGGCAGGTAGGCAGGTCATACATGAGTTTTTAATGTCTCATCCCATGAACTGACAAGAAGCATGAACTTTCCAAGACTAAATGTTATGTATTAAGGGGACAGATTGAAGTAAATTTGAAATGCATCCTGTGGAATTACTGTTTCTGTAAACAAAAATGTTTTTAAAAATGACTGTGTCTGTAAATCGTTACCAATAGGAATATTGCTTTTCGTTTTAAAATATGTTTATAGTTTTGCTTTGACATATATATTGCTTTGACAGTATCTTCCAGCCCATCGGTCACAAAAAGCCATTTATCAGTCAGAATTGATTGCCCAGCTGCCTGTAGAGGTAGTTATCTTTGTGCAACTTAGGACTTGGGATTCCGTCAGACTGCGGATATGAAATGCACATGGAGTTCAACTGAGTGAAACCACTACATTGGCAGGTCCCATTTCCTGTTTCCTGGCTCCAGTACTGGTTTGGTAATCTGAAGGCTGATAACAGGGGAGATTCCTGCCACCGTCTCATTTATGTTAGGTCCCCACCCTAAACTCTGGGCGTATGCTGTGAATGAGATTAGCCTATCAAATGCTACAGTCAGACATTCAAACTCTTGAACTGAAAGAGACTCCCACAAACAGTCGTAGATTGAAAATGACCAATTATTTATCGTTTTTGGTTTTGGAGGGATTATTATTAGGCGTGTGGAGTAAGGAAACTTGCCCAAGGTTTCGCCCTGCCTGGAATTGAACTGGAATTGAAAAAGCCATTGACTCTTTCACAGCCCCATTACTTTTTACGTTGTCCAGTTTTTAAACTTAATTACATTTTAGATTTTGTGTTTCTGTGTTTGGTTACTAATTAAGGTAATTGCTCAATAACAATCTATAATAATAACAATAAACCTTGAATTTGATATAGCACCTTTCACATCAGGAGAATGCCCAGTCAGCATTTTGAAATGTTCTACCAATGTGAAAGATGCTATGTGAACGTCAATTGGATGGTATACAAGATCCACACGCTCAGTGACAACTTACTTAATGCCCTAGCACCTCCCTACCTCTCAAACCTTTGCTCAGCTGGCTCCAGCCTTCTGCACATCCCTCGTCCCCTCCGCTCCACCATCAGCGGCTGTGCTTTCAGTCACTATACCCAAAACTCTGGAGCTTCCTTCCTCAATCCCTCTGCCTTGCCTCTCTTTACTGTCTTCAGATCACCGGAAGACCTCCCTCTTTGACCATGCCTACGGTTACCTCCTCTTTCATAGAATCATAGAATAATAGAATTATACAGCACAGAAGGAGGCCATTCAGCCCATTGTGTCTGTGCCAGTTCTTTGAAAAGAGCTATCCAAATCAATCCCATTCCCCCGCTCTCTCCCCATAGTCCTGCAAAAAAAATTCTCTCTGGCTCAGTGTTACTTTCCACCATTGTCAAGTACTCTGAGACACTGCACGACATGAAGGATGCTATATACATGCAAGTTGTTGTTGGACAGTAATTGGATACAATTAAATCTAAAATGTGGGATGGATTGATAGTCCAAAAGCTAATCGTGTTCAAACATTTTCAA